GATCATAAGGGCCTAGACTGGACATACTTGTGTATAAGGGAGGATAGATAGGTGGGAGCAGCATTATGTAGAGATTTGAAAGCAATAACCAGAATTTTAAATTGACCTCTATATTTTATAGGAAGCCCATGTAGGGACTGACAGAAGGGTGAGGCATGGGAGGTGCGGACGGACAGGAAGATGAGCCTCGCTGCCGCATTCATTATGGACTGTAACGGCGCAAGTTGGGAGCACGTAAGACCACTGAGAAGCGGATTACAGTAGTCAAGGCGAGAAAGGACAGTGGAATGGACCAACACCTTAGTCGCATCTGGCGTTAAGTAGGGGCGGATGCGCACAATGTTTTTGAGATGGAAATGACAGGATTTGGCGATAGATTGAACATGAGGCTTGAAGGAGAGGTCGGAGTCAAAGAGAACACCTAGGCAGCGAGCCTGCGTGGTGGAGCTGATGGTAGCACCGTTGACTTGGAGGGAGACAGACACGGGAGTAACAACACTTGAGGGAGGAAAGACCAGAATTTCAGTTTTGGTCAAGTTTACATTACAGCCTAGTGATAACGTCACTGGTCACTCCTCAGATAGCTGTTAGAGATCCTTCCTGGGTCATGGCTGCCTAAAATGCATCCAAACATTCAGTGTCTCCTCCCTCTGCATGCAGACACTGAAGTTTCCTCATTCAGATTTGTTGTTTCAATTCATCTCTATGCTGATTGGCCAGGGCTGTGTTTGAATCATGCTGGCTCTGCCCCTGATCTGCCTCTTTGTCAGTCTCAGCCAATCCTATGGGGAAGCATTGTGATTGGATCAGGCTACCACATGTCAGCAGACTGCTTGGTTTTGGTTTTTTTTTTGTGTCAAACAGCATGCAGAGTTACAGCTTCAGGCTTGAATAAAGTAAGATTTTGCTATATTTATGGAAGCATGAGGGGCCCAGGGGAGCTAGATGGTGGTTTTAACACTTTAGGGTCAGGAATACATGTTTGTGTTCCTGACCCTATAGTGATCCTTTAAATAATTTTTTTTAATCACAACTTTAACATTAGACTCCGTCCTTAAGGGGTTAACCTTGACCTGCAGGGAGTCCCAGGATGAAGAATTTCCCAAGTAAGTGGATTAAGAGCAGGCTTTAGGTTGCTAGGATAGGACCTGCCAAGAATGAGGTACATTGATGTTGTGGCAGGCTTATGCAAGGTATGATCATATAATGTAACTAAACCCCCATTAATTTTTGCCTAGGTGAGGTGTTTTTAAATAAAACTATTACATTCAATGAGACTTGAAATTGCTGTTTAGTGAATAAGCGAGTGCGTGGATCTTGTATGTGATATATATATTATCTGTGATCTCTTTTAGATCCCAGACTAGCTTATTCTGAAATGGTGGGTGCATAATTAGTCCATATTATTATTTTATTATTTATATAGCACCATCACATTCCGTAGCGCTGTACAATGGGTGGACTAACAGACATGTAATTTTAACCAGACAATTGGACGTACAGGAACAGAGAGGTGGAGGGCCCTGCTCAATGAGCTTACATTCTAGAGGGAGAGGGGTATAGTGACACAAAGGGTAAAAGTAGGGGCACGAAGTAGGTGGTTAGAAAAGTATTCGCTGAGGGCTTAGTAGGTAATTTTGACAGTTGCAAGAGAGGAGTCATGGGGGATGATGGATAAAAACCTGCTAACCGTTTAATTGATATGCTTTCTTGAAGAAGCGAGTTTTCAATGTTTTTTTTAATGAGTGGAGATTGGGTGAAGGAGTACACATTATGTCAGGAGTACACAGTATAATCGACATTCCTTACGGTTTACTGAAATAGCATGAAATTCAGGCAAACAACTCTGGGCTCTGAATTCAAATCCTCCTCCAAATGTATCTGGTACAACTTAAGGAGCTTTCTCTGGGCAGAACACAATCCAATGGGATATATTTTTTTTCTCTCTACTCTTCCTGTTTTCTCATTTACTTACCCAAAGGGACGTGACGAGAAGAAAAAGGCTTTTCTTAATTCTGATCTTTCTGCCGTTTAGGAGAGAGCTCCCTAATTTTATATTTATATATATGGCAATTGACCATGAGCAGAAAATTAGGAGGCCATCTACTAAACTGCTGAGAGGTCAGAATCAAGTTTATAGTTATAACCATTGTTATTATCATTACTATATTACATTTTTAGCTATATGGATAAAAGCGGCCCTCCGTCCATACACAGATATGGCATCCGGCCCACATGCCAGAAAGGTTGCCTAGCTCTGCTCTAAGCTGTTGAACCTATGAAGGACAAAAAAAAGAAAGCCATGATTTTCTCGATGGGGAATGCTCACAAAATAAGAAACTTTTTAAAAGCATTTAAATAGAAATATAACCAATTGACCTCTGGAGTTCCACAATAGTAACAGTCGCCTTTTTCTTTTCAATAATATTTTTCTAACAACAAATAAAAACACTCCAACATGTATTTCATTGAATAAATTCTTGTCCTTGCGTTTTATTTATCCTGTTTAGTTTTTTTTTACAGTTAGAGTTATTTCAAGCACCATGACCACTTCAATGATTTCAAACATACAGCAAGTTTTATTCAGTAAATTGAAAGACAAATAGCAGAACTGAGGTGAAACTAGCAGAGCTGTCACTAGACTGTAAGCTCCTTTGAGCAGGGTTTTCATCTACCTATTGTTCCTGTGATATTTTGTAATTGTCAAATTTTTTGTTAAATCTCCCCCCTTTTTAAAAAAAATTCTTTATTTTTACTCAATAGAGTCAGCAAGTGTACATCAACTTTCGGGCTTACGCAGAAGCAAACATGTTCAACATTTTGGGATCATTGTACAGTTTGACAAGAAAAACAAAACAATGTGTGCCCCGTCGTCTACTGAATCCACTGGCACCTGCCATCTATCGAGGTGTTTTTTAAATTTTACAATACCCCCTTCTAGGATATACATCATTGAACAGGCAATTCAACAATTATACAGTCACTTTCGGGCTAATATAGAGGCCTATTAAATTACAAATTAATATAAGGGAACGTTAGTCGTTGTAATTATTTTTTGCTTGTATCGTAACTTAGTTTTGGCACTCTCCGTTTGTCGGGGAAACTTATGGTAGATAAAGGTACAGGCTAATCAGCGAAAGTAAGTAGCCCTCATATGTGCTGAACGACCTCCTATCTGTGCTACCTTGTTCCTCCAACCGCTTGATCTAGCCTGAAAAAAAAAAAATCACATGAAACTAATAAAGAAGAGAGAAAAAAAAGGAAGTAATAAGACTTAGAGAGAAAGTAAGAAGTGCATAGTCAAGGCTGAAAAGGAAAAGGAGGGGACGGGGGGAGAGGCGGCGGGTCTACCATCTCTCCGCAGTAAATCTCCCCCTTTAATAACATTGTAAAGCGCTGTGGAAAAAGTTGGCACTATATAAATGCCAATAATAATAATAATATTAAAACTAATTTGAAGAATTGCTCCCTATCAGCTGCTTTTCTTTTCCTTCACTTTATTTCCTATTTTATATTCAAACCGGCTATTATTAAACTGGTAATATAGCTGCCTAGGATTTTATATTCAAACCGGCTATTATTAAACTGGTAATATAGCTGCCTAGGATTTTATATTCAAACCGGCTATTATTAAACTGGTAATATAGCTGACTAGGATTTTATATTCAAACCGGCTATTATTAAACTGGTAATATAGCTGACTAGGATTTTATATTTAAACCGGTTATTATTAAACTGGTAATATAGCTGACTAGGATTTTATATTTAAACCGGTTATTATTAAACTGGTAATATAGCTGACTAGGATTTTATATTCAAACCAGTTATTATTAAACTGGTAATATAGCTGCCTAGGATTTTATATTCAAACCAGCTATTATTAAACTGGTAATATAGCTGACTAGGATTTTATATTCAAACCAGCTATTATTAAACTGGTAATATAGCTGACTAGGATTTTATATTCAAACCGGCTATTATTAAACTGGTAATATAGCTGACTAGGATTTTATATTCAAACCGGCTATTATTAAACTGGTAATATAGCTGCCTAGGATTTTATATTCAAACCAGCTATTATTAAACTGGTAATATAGCTGACTAGGATTTTATATTCAAACCGGCTATTATTAAACTGGTAATATAGCTGACTAGGATTTTATATTCAAACCGGCTATTATTAAACTGGTAATATAGCTGACTAGGATTTTATATTCAAACCGGCTATTATTAAACTGGTAATATAGCTGACTAGGATTTTATATTCAAACCAGCTATTATTAAACTGGTAATATAGCTGACTAGGATTTTATATTCAAACCAGCTATTATTAAACTGGTAATATAGCTGACTAGGATTTTATATTTCAACCGGTTATTATTAAACTGGTAATATAGCTGACTAGGATTTTATATTTAAACCGGTTATTATTAAACTGGTAATATAGCTGCCTAGGATTTTATATTTAAACCGGCTATTATTAAACTGGTAATATAGCTGACTAGGATTTTATATTTAAACCGGTTATTATTAAACTGGTAATATAGCTGACTAGGATTTTATATTTAAACCAGTTATTATTAAACTGGTAATATAGCTGACTAGGATTTTATATTCAAACCGGCTATTATTAAACTGGTAATATAGCTGACTAGGATTTTATATTTAAACCAGTTATTATTAAACTGGTAATATAGCTGACTAGGATTTTATATTTAAACCAGTTATTATTAAACTGGTAATATAGCTGACTAGGATTTTATATTTAAACCGGTTATTATTGTGTAAAGTATGAATTTCACATGGATTCCAGAATGTAAACCAATGAGATCAGCCCAGGGCCCATTACATGTGAGCTGGCACAGACACTGCCCGGCCGGTGTACTCGGTGCTGGGGTGGCAGCTCTCTCAGTGTGCCCGGTGCTGCCAGGTCGTGTCCCCTGGATGACCCCGCGGCTCGCTCCGCCCCTCTCTCCCCAGCAGGGGGCAGCGCTGAGATCCCGGGCTCGGCCGCCAGCAGCGACCTCTGACTCCATACCGGCACCTTCTGCGGGACCTGCCGGCTGCACACCTACCTCTACCTACCTACCTAGTGACCATGTAAGGGGCGGGCACAGAGCATGCTGGGACACAGCTCACACCGGGGGAGGGGGGGGGACATGTGACACCCCTCTCTGAGTAACAAGGGTTAAACTTCCTCCGAAAGGGTTAAAGCTATGTAAGGGTCTGACATGGGTATGGTGACGGTGGCTTATGATGGGAAATGGTTAATGGGTGCACTATGATTGGGATATGAAATGGTTAATGGGTGCTGAGTGATTGGGGTATTAAATGGTTAATGGGTTTACTGTGATTGGGATATGAAATGGTTAATGGGTGCTGAGTGATTGGGGTGTGAAATGGTTAATGGTCGCACTGTGATTGTGGAAGTTTAATGGTTAATGGGTGCACTGTGATTGGGGAAATTAAATGGTTAATGGGTACATTGTGATTGTGGATATGAAATTGTTAATGGGTGCACTGTGATTGTGGAAATTAAATGGTTAATGGGTACATTGTGATTGGGATATGAAATTGTTAATGGGTACACTGTGATTGTGGAAATTAAATGGTTAATGGGTGCTCTGTGATGGTGGAAATTAAATGGTCAATGGGTGCATTGTGATTGTGGAAATTTAATGGTTAATGGGTTTACTGTGATTGGGATATGAAATGGTTAATGGGTGCTGAGTGATTGGGGTGTGAAATGGTTAATGGTCGCACTGTGATTGTGGAAGTTTAATGGTTAATGGGTGCACTGTGAATGGGGATATGAAATGGTTAATGGGTGCACTGTTATTGGGGTGTGAAATGGTTAATGGGTGCACTGTGATTGGGGTGTGAAATGGTTAATGGTCACACTGTGATTGTGGAAGTTTAATGGTTAATGGGTGCACTGTGATTGGGGATATGAAATGGTTAGTGGGTGCACTGTGATTGTGGAAGTTAAATGGTTAATGATTGCACTGTGATTGGGATGTGAAATGGTTAATGGTCGCACTGTGATTGTGGAAGTTTAATGGTTAATGGGTGCACTGTGATTGTGGAAATTAAATGGTTAATGGGTACACTGTGATTGGGATATGAAATTGTTATTGGGTGCTCTGTGATTGTGGAAATTAAATGGTTAATGGGTGCTCTGTAATTGTGGAAATTAAATGGTTAATGGGTGCTCTGTAATTGTGGAAATTAAATGGTTAATGGGTGCACAGTGATTGGGGATATGAAATGGTTAGTGGGTGCACTGTGATTGTGGAAGTTAAATGGTTAATGGTTGCACTGTGATTGGGATGTGAAATGGTTAATGGGTGCACTGTGATTGGGATGTGATGGTTAATGGGTGCACTATGATTGTGGAAATTAAATGGTTAATGGGTGCACTGTGATTGTAGAAATTAAATGGTTAATGGGTGCACTGTGATTGGGATGTGAAATGGTTAATGGGTGCACTGTGATTGTGGAAATTAAATAGTTGATGGGTGCACTGTGATTGTGGAAATTAAATGGTTAATGGGTACACTATGATTGGGATATGAAATTTGTAATGGGTGCTCTGTGATTGTGGAAATTAAATGGTTAATGGGTGCATTGTGATTGTGGAAGTTAAATGGTTAATGGGTGCACAGTGATTGTGGAAATTAAATGGTTAATGGGTGCACAGTGATTGTGGAAATTAAATGGTTAATGGGTGCACTGTGATTGTGGAAATTAAATGGTTAATGGGTGCACTGTGATTGGGATGTAAAATGGTTAATGGGTGCTGAGTGATTGGGGTGTGAAATGGTTAATGGTAGCACTGTGATTGTGGAAGTTTAATGGTTAATGGGTGCGCTGTGATTGGGATGTGAAATGGTTAATGGTCGCACTGTGATTGTGGAAGTTTAATGGTTAATGGGTGCACTGTGCTTGGAGTGTGAAATGGTTAATGAGTGCACTGTAGGGATGTAAAATGGTTAATGGGTGCACTATGATTGGGATATAAAATGGTTAATGGGAGCACTGTGATTGGGGATGTGAAATGGTTAATGGGTGCTCTGTGGATTTGTCTTTCCATTTATGCTGTAACTAATATTTTCTTGGGAATCCTGTTAATTAATATTATCTCACTTACAAATGCAAACATGTTTTCTTCAAATAGTTGTGTAGGTTCCAACTTCTTAACGTCAACACAACAACAATAAAAACACAGTTATTGAAAAGTAGTTTTCCATCTTCTAGAATGACGAGAATGTGTTGCATAGATTTTATTCTATAAGAGGGATTTACAGAAATGTTGTAAACAAAAACTGAGGCAGTCACCATGGAAACCAGGGAGTAATCTGAATACTCATTTCTGTTCTATCCTTTCTGCGTCACTTATATCAATCTATCCTGAGGGTTCTAACTGACAAATTACAAATGATTGCCTTTGGTAATATCAGCACTCCAGCTGTCCATATTGTTCTAAATGTATTCACATCTGTGGTGTATTGCACAGAAAAAAAGATTTGAATGTCAGGTATGTCGTGGCATTTAGTGTTTGGAAGGTGACATTTTATTTTCGTAATACCAAAAACCCTTCGCTGGACATTTTCACTTTTCCATTCGTAGACACCAGTTCCTATATAATTAGTGATGTTGTGTGTTATTCGTTTACGGACATAAAAAAAAAAACGTCCTTCCTTTTTACACACACATTGTTCACTTATAAAGGAAATTCTTATAAAGGAAATTCCTACCACTGTTATCCACACTATTCCATATTCTATCTCTTTCTTTTTGGATCACTGAAAATGTAATTGTGTCTGATTACAATGGCCATTTCAAAGCATGGACCTGGAAAGAGTGCTGTATTATCTTTCTAGATATCCATGATGGTAGTTGGTCAGGGATTCTATGACCTGTGGCACTCTGCTGATCACGGAATCCTAACAGAACCCGGGCAGTCTCATACAGTTGTGGATGAAGATGAGCTTACTGTTGCACACAGTGTGGACGTCGATACTGTGTTTCCCTTTGCTATTTGTGAATGCTTTCTATTTGGCTGTTGGTGGGACTATCTTTAACCCCTTAAGGACACGTGACATGTCATGATTCCCTTTTATTCCAGAAGTTTGGTCCTTAAGGGGTTAAACAGGTTCTATCCACAGCCCCGACTACGTTGGTAATGCACGCTTCCATGTAGTGTGGACATATAAAAACTTGGAGATTTGCTGCAGAATAGTCCACGTCATGAGGGCCAAGAAGATTGAGCAGACAGGCTGGGAAACTCCATTGGTTGGAGCCATTGTTCCCTAGAAAATATCAGAGCCACCAAATTGGGGGACACAGAGGTGCTTCACAATAGGTGGCTTGGCTGCGTCGATAGTCTGTGCACTATGTGTTGCTCTATGCTCTCTCTCTATCCAGCGTGCAGAAGATGTGAGGAGAAAGGTTTAATATGGAGAATTTAAACCTAGATGTTATTTTTTTTAAGTGAAAACCAGTTTGGCCAAAAGACTGATACAGCTTGTAACATTTGGCAAACACTGCAGCTCCAGATGGTAACATAACTGAGGAGGATTTTGCTGGTTTTGTGTCTATTTCGGTTCAGTTCCATGAGCTCAGACACTTGTTTTATCATGTATTTAAATTATGTTTGTCTGTGATTTGGCAAACAAAAACAAAGGCTACCAATCATTCATGGTGTCACCATTTGTTTAGACCCTGTTGTACATCATTGGGCCATTTTTGGTCTTGCTATTTCAACAAAGTGTATATAAAATACATAACAAATAACAGGCACTTCTAAAGGTCCTATTGTCCGTGTTGGTACCTTGTAGGAGTACGTGGTATGAATTTCTACAGGCTCTGTTTCAAAGTATTAATGGCCTAAAATATAAATCTGTAGTTCTGTTATAGTGGATTCAGCAATTTGCTTCAATTATATAGGTTGCTAAAGTGCTCCAAGGTGACCCACTGGCAAAACGCAGAATGTAATCCGCTAACAATGTAGCTAAATACACTCAGAGATCGAGCGCTCAAGGATTCCGGAGGTGATTCTGCCCCAGCGTAACTTTACCAAGATGGAGTTGTATGAGTATTCATATAGCTATAAAATGATTTGCAAGAAAAATAAAACATCTAAATATATAGTGCAAAATGAATACATAGGGACAAGGAAATTCCTACCACTGAAAATGATGAGCACAAATCACCAGTCTGTTAAATTAGTAATGTTAACCTCTTCCAGGGCACACAATGCATGCCGCAACATTGGGGTGTATGAATTCAGGATGGGGCTTGGTGGACCACCAAGGGGAGGCTCTACCTGCAAACGAGGATGCCCCAAATGCATACCAGGATCACTAGCTGGACCCACTCAGGACTGCTATGCTTAAAGTGCTGTTGGAAATGTCAAATGACTGTGTGTATGTACATATATACACTGAACAAAATTATAAACGCAACAATTTAGTTTTTGCCCCCATTTTTCATGAGCTGCACTCAAAGATCTAAGACTTTTTCTATGTACACAAAAGGCTTTTTTCTCTCAAATATTGTTCACAAATCTGTCTAAATCTGACAGATTTGTGTCAACAATATTTGAGAGAAATAGGCCTTTTGTGTACATAGAAAAAGTCTTAGATCTTTGAGTTCAGCTCATGAAAATTGGGGTTAAAAACAAAAGTGCTGCTTTTATAATTTTATTCAGTGTGTATATATATATATATATATATATATATATATATATATATATATACATACAGTTGCAAGAAAAAGTATGTGAACCATTTGGAATGATATGGATTTCTGCACAAATTGGTCATAAAATGTGATCTGATCATCATCTAAGTCACAACAATAGACAATCACAGTCTGCTTAAACTAATAACACACAAAGAATGAAATGTTGCCATGTTTTTATTGAACACACCATGTAAACATTCACAGTGCAGGTGGAAAAAGTATGTGAACCCCTAGACTAATGACATCTCCAAGAGCTAATTGGAGTGAGATGTCAGCCAACTGGAGTCCAATCAATGAGATGAGATTGGAGGTGTTGGTTACAGCTGCCCTGCCCTATAAAAACACACACCAGTTCTGGGTTTGCTTTTCACAAGAAGCATTGCCTGATGTGAATGATGCCTTGCACAAAAGAGCTCTCAGAAGACCTACGATTAAGAATTGTTGACTTGCATAAAGCTGGAAAGGGTTATAAAAGTATCTCCAAAAGCCTTGCTGTTCATCAGTCCACGGTAAGACAAATTGTCTATAAATGGAGAAAGTTCAGCACTGCTGCTACTCTCCCTAGGAGTGGCCGTCCTGTAAAGATGACTGCAAGAGCACAGCGCAGACTGCTCAATGAGGTGAAGAAGAATCCTAGAGTGTCAGCTAAAGACTTACAAAAGTCACTGGCAAATGCTAACATCCCTGTTAGCGAATCTACAATACGTAAAACACTAAACAAGAATGGATTTCATGGGAGGATACCACAGAGGAAGCCACTGCTGTCCAAACAAAACATTGCTGCACGTTTACAGTTTGCACAAGAGCACCTGGATGTTCCACAGCAGTACTGGCAAAATATTCTGTGGACAAATGAAACCAAAGTTGAGTTGTTTGGAAGAAACACACAACACTATGTGTGGCGAAAAAAAGGCACAGCACACCAACATCAAAACCTCATCCCAACTGTGAAGTATGGTGGTGGGGGCATCATGGTTTGGGGCTGCTTTGCTGCGTCAGGGCCTGGACGGATTGCTATCATCGAAGGAAAAATGAATTCCCAAGTTTATCAAGACATTTTGCAGGAGAACTTAAGGCCATCTGTCTACCAGCTGAAGCTCAACAGAAGATGGGTGTTGCAACAGGACAATGACCCAAAGCATAGAAGTAAATCAACAACAGAATGGCTTAAACAGAAGAAAATACGCCTTCTGAAGTGGCCCAGTCAGAGTCCTGACCTCAGCCCAATTGAGATGCTGTGGCATGACCTCAAGAAAGCGATTCACACCAGACATCCCAAGAATATTGCTGAACTGAAACAGTACTGTAAAGAGGAATGGTCAAGAATTACTCCTGACCGTTGTGCACGTCTGATCTGCAACTACAGGAAAAGTTTGGTTGAAGTTATTGCTGCCAAAGGAGGTTGAACCAGTTATTAAATGCAAGGGTTCACAGAATTTTTCCACCTGCACTGTGAATGTTTACATGGTGTGTTCAATAAAAACATGGCAAAATGTCATTCTTTGTGTGTTATTAGTTTAAGCAGACTGTGATTGTCTATTGTTGTGACTTAGATGATGATCAGATCACATTTTATGACCAATTTAAGCAGAAATCCATATCATTCCAAAGGGTTCACATACTTTTTCTTGCAACTGTATATGTGTATATATATATATATATATATATATATATATATAATATAATTATTTTTTTAACAGCTAAACAGGGTTACCATTTCACACACGTTTCCTCTAATGATTGATGCATTTGCTTACCCTAGGTACCTGAAATTGGGATTTTCTGCTGCAGTTTTGGCAACTATTGTTGGGATTTACCTGCTGCCTTCCCCTATTGATCCTGAGCCTTTCATGTGAGTTACCTGCAGTGACTGAGTATGTGTGTTACATCCAATTATAGCTATTGCCGTAATTTGTAAAGGTGACAAAAATGAGACACCTTGCCAATCATTGTCTGACATTTTATAATATGTAGTATAACTCACAGCCTTTAGTACAGTGTATTTTTACCTTAACAGTGAATGGATGAGGTTTGTCCACTAAACGGTGAATTGTGTGATGTAGAAGCAAACTTTTGCAGTATTTGTTTTAATGTATATTCTAGCACTACTTGAAGAGTAAGTCACCAAACTAATTGTACGACCTGGGTCAACATATTACTCTGTCCAGTTTTAGGTGCACAACACTGGGCTTTATATTGTCTAAACGGGATTTTGAGGACTGCTGTTGTCTTCGGTATAATATTGTACAATTTCCTTTGCTCAGGTTTGATAAACCTCCACCAGCCCTCATTGGGCCATTGGCTTTAAATCAAAAACTTCACAAAGGGAGAAGAATTTTCAATGGACTGCTCAAAGGCCCGGAATCGTTCACTTGTGATAAAGAAGGTAACTCTAAAGTTGAATTAATTTTAATTGTAAATCAGTTCAGAGTCCTGAGCGTGTTTAGTAAGTTTGTCGGCCCCTGTAACGACAACGGAACACCTACTTTATTACATCTACAAACAGAGTTCTTCGATCAGTTTACAAACTGTATATGGTCACAGTTTAAGAATTACAGGAAGTTCATACTATGTACATTTGTTGTATTTTACAAGTTTTTTTTACTCTGGTTAAAAGATGAGTTTTTAAACCTGTAGAATAATATTTTTGGGTCATGTTGAAAACCGACATGTGGATTAAATTTCCTGTTCACATTCCTGATCTCCTGCCAGCTGTTAGCACCAAGTCTCGCTGGTAGCTGATGCCGAAGCTGAAATGCCAGTCGTTCCCAACATGTTTTTGATAATGATTTCATTTGCATATTTGCCTTCACGGGCATGTGAGGACCTGCAGAGCATTGTTACATCAATTACAAAGTATTAAAGCCAACAAAAAGAATAACTTGCTAGTTTTCTATGAGTTGGTATTATTATTCATTGAATAAGACCCCACAGGTAAATCCTGGTATACCAATTCTTTCTATTGATTTTGTTATTTGTGCTATTTGGCCCCTGCTACTATTAGCACATTCATCCCACCTGTTACACCAGCCTACATATTCAGGACAGTCATGGGAGGAAAGGGGTGGGAGGGCGGGGGGATTCAATGAGTGAACAGTCGACTGGTGTGAGCTATGTAATAATGTTTATGTTAAATTGACATTGTCGGCACTAAATCAATTTTAGTAATAGAAAAGGGTACTAAAAGCAACAGGTGCCAAATACACACACCACTCCCTGTGTATCAAAACAGGCAATAATAAATCAATTTTAGCTTATAGAAACACTATAGTGTCAAACTTGTATTCCTGACACTATAGTTTTAAACTGTTTGCATCACTTTGTAAAGGTGTTCTTACCCAACTTTTCTCCCACGCTGTGCCATGACTGCCATGATGATCTCAGCAAATCAGCATTGGGAGACTTTTGTACATGCAAATCATCATCTTCTCATTGCGATGCTTTAAATCAATACATCTGTATTGGGAACGTTCAGCACCTCTAGGCAGATGCTGAATCCCACTGATACAAGAAGCACCTCTAGTGGCTGTCTGAGTGACTGCTGCTAGAGGTGTGATTAGCCAGCAATGAAAACTGTCTTTTCAGCATTTACATTAAAAAAACCTGCAGGGCAGGTTAAAGACACACAATCCACTACAATAAGCTGTACTGGTTCAGCTGACTATAGTGTCCCTTTAATTAGGTTTTGGTGTGTAGATCATGCCACTGCAGTCTCACTGCCCAGTTCCCTTTAGACGTTAAATCACTTTGTTTATACAGCCCTAGCCACACCTTCCCATATGTGACTTACACAGCCTTCTTAAACACTTCCTGTAAAGAGATCTAACATTTACATTTGCTTTAATGCTAATTTTGTTTAACTTCGAATTTCTTATCTCCTGCTCTGCTAATAGCATTCTAGACCCTGCACAACTCCTGTATGTAATTAAAGCTAATTTACAGGGCAGAAGACAAAAAACTTCTAAAACAAGTTAGCATCTGATTTGAAAATTTAAACCTTTTTTTTTTCATGCAGCTTGTGGGAATCATGGCCAGCGGAGGTATGACTACCACTGCATAAACAGAAATAAAAGTGCTTTAACTTCTCTAAGATCTATACACTAAAAATGTTTTATCAAGCTAAAGTTAATTTGGTTCCTGTAGTGTCCTTTTAAATTATTAAAATGATCACATTTTCTATTATCCTGGGGTACCTGCTAAGATCAGTTCTAAGATGCACTAAAAGCTGTGTTACAATTTTTCTTACAGTGTCTAACATTGATTTTCATGTAGGCAATCTTTACACCGGCACAGTGGATGGGAAACTGTGGAAGATCTCTGGGGACAAGTTATCCTTCATAACACAGATGGGACAGAATATGTCACAATGTGGTGAGCCAGAACTAAATTCTATTTTGTCCTTTTCTTTGTAAAATGTTTGGATATGTTTTGTGTTTTTTATCTTTTGTAAATGAAAGTTCTTAATTTAAAAAGTAGAGATCTGATTAGATTCAAGAGATTCACATCTACAGCTAACACCCAACCTTCTGCATTTGGTTATTTCCATAAACAAAAAAAAAATATGGGGATAATGGAGAAAGAGGGGAAACTAATTTAAAAAAAAATACATGTGTAGCAAGGCTGCTTGTGGGCAAGGTGAGGAGTTTGATCAGAGCGAAGTGTTACCCAGATTTCATAAAATGATTGAACAGATTGCTGGACCAAAGCTGTAAACGTCACTCTCATTTTAGGGACCCGGTCTCAACTCAGTACGGTTGAACGGGTTAATGATAATTACGTACTGTTAATCCTGTTAATCTACACAAATATTTTGGCTGGATAATGAGGAAGTGAGACACTTTTTCTTGTTATTATGTTGGAAGCAGAAAGGGAGGATTTGAGTGCTGGGTAGAGCCCCTTTATCCCAAAATAGCAAGATTTCAAATAAATATATACATATATGTATCATATATAATAGTATTTCTATGTAGTTATAACTACTACTTGGAGGTATATTTTTAAAGAAATGTGTAACCTATGCTTTTAGCTGCATCCTAAATGAGAGAGGCTGAAATTACATCCTGTTATTTATACATAAAAGCGACTGTGCATTACTGCATATTATTCAGTGCATTGGCACCCATACATGTCTGGAGTGGAGATTCCCTGAAATAATGTAATTGTTAGGGCTTTAGTGTCAAAACAAATGGAAAACCATTATATATCCCAGATACAGCTCTAGTGCTTTAGTGTCAAAACAAATGAAAACCATTATATATCCCAGATACAGCTCTAGTGCTGGTACGACATTATGTCCTCTGTCTTCTCTCTTCGGTCAAATGATGCAACATCCCAATGGTTTTCAAATGATGTATTCCGTAGAATCAAAGTGGTAATTGGAAATAACTGTGGTATTCTGCAAATAACCACCTGTATAGGAACTGTATGATTTGGAATTCAGGCAATTTATAATCTTGCGTTTTTTTTTAACTTGCTTGGATGTAGATAGATTATAATAATATAACCAGTCACTTGGAGTTTGTCTATTTTTTATCTTTTTTCACGTTATATGTGTTTGACTTTAAAGACATGTGTGGCACCGGTGATTCTGAGAAAACAGATTTTAATACTGAAACAGAAATAAATATGTTTTGATCTTTCATTCTTTGAGTGTGCAAACTTCTCCTGTTTTGTAGTTGTTTGTTTTTTGTTTTAACATTAATCTCTGTTTCTCAGCTACACTTCTTTGTTGGCTTTCAATGAAAACTTACATGATTACACTTATTGGGAATTCTATGGTTTGGTATTGAATTTTGACCAAAATAGCAGTGATGGGAAAAATTCCCACTATGCTTTGTGTTCTGCTCAGTATAGTTCAGGGGGGCGAAAACTTTGGCACTCCAGAAATTGTGGACTACATGATCCTTAATGTGCTTACAGCCACAATGCTGGCAAAACATTAATTGAGACGCTAGGGAAGTTGCTGACATGCGTGAAACCTTCATGTCTTTAATTCCCCGCACTCAGGCTAGTAAATTAATTTCTCTACACTTTGATTCCCTGGCTTTGATTAAGTGCCTGGTGTCAAATCTATAAGGCCATTGGATAATCATGCACCTTCAGATATAGTGAAACAGACTAAGATGGCATGTTACAAATACTTGTTACATATATCATTTTTCCCTGCCAGGTACCCCAGAATATGAACCAGTGTGTGGACGTCCACATGCTGTTCGTATGGATCACAATGGATTTCTTATTGTAGCAGATTCATATTTTGGATTGTTCAGGGTGAACCCACGGACGGGAGAGAAGACCCTCCTGCTTTCTAATGAAGAAGGTGAATTGGGCACATGAAAAGAATTGAGCCCTCTGGCAGAAGTGGACGAGTGTTTTATCGTTTTATCTCGTATGTCATGGGATATAGATCACTTGTAGACAGTGCCTTTTTTTTTTTGTAAAGCAGTATAAATTATTATTTTTATTATTTATATAGCGCCAGCAAATTCCGTAGCGCTGTACAATGGGTGAACTAACAGACACATAATTGTAACCAGACAAATGGACGCACATGAACAGAGGGGTCGAGGGCCCTGCTCAATGAGCTTACATGCTAGAGGGAGTGAGTAATAGTGACACAAAGGGTGTAAGTAGGGGTAATGAAATAGGTTGCTAGAAAAGTAATCACTGAGAACTTAGGCTATTTATGACAGTTGCAGGAGCGGAGTCATGGGGGGGGGGAATGAAAACCCGCCAACAGTTTAAATTATATGCTTTCCTGAAGAAGTGTGTGGAGACTGGGTGAAAGTCTATCGGAGAAGGGGAGGGAGTTCCTCAGAAAAGGTGCAGCCCTGGGAGATGCAGGCGCACAGGAAAATGAGCCTCGCCACTGCATTCATTATAGATTGCATCTGTGCAATCTGGGAACATGTAAGACCACTGAGAAGGGGATTGCAGTAGTCAAGTCGAGAGAGAACAATGGCATAGACTAGCACCTTAGCCGCGTCTGGTGTTTAATAGGGGTGGATACGAGCTATGTTTTTTAGATGGAAACGGCAAGATTTGTGATCGACTGGACATGAAGGGTGAAGGAGAGAACACCTAGGCTGTGAGGTAGAGGTGAAAGCCACATATTAAAAAAAGAGAAACCTTGTGGCAGGGAAATCCGTGAAGGGGCTTGTATTAAACAGAACAAATTCAAGAGAAGGGATAAAGAGTTAAAGAAAACGAATGAACAAGAAGTTTGTTGGCGAAGAAACTTTTCTTGGAAAGTGAATGGTGGGCTAGGTGGGAAGGTATGTCTCTCCTCTTTTTGCTCTCCTTCTCTTCCTTTATTCTTATTAAGTGTTCTTGCATGGCAAGACCACTTACTATTATCTCACATATATATTATTCTTATTATTATTATAGCCAAATTTACCACCCTAACTCCTCCCACAGTTTTTACACTACATAGAGAGTAATATACCGAAACGTGCGGATTGTTCCCGATTAGATTGCTTTTACTTTGTGGAACGTTTTGCCGAATGGTTCACGGAATATCGTCGTTCTTGTGGCGAAATTGGTCCCATAGGAATGAATGGCAAAATGTTCAAAACTAGAGTGGGAGCTGGCAAAAGCTGAAAAATCTGGGCAGGATTTCTAATTTGCCACCACTCCCTTATTTTCAAGCCCACCTACACAAATCTCATATCAAAATATTCAGCTATCCCTGCTGCCACTAGAAATGTCCACGGCTAAGCCATAGTCCTGATAGTTTTCACAATATTACCATTTGTTTGCAACTCACAGTCCATTGACATTCATCGAAACCCCACTCTAGCCAGCTCAAGTTTGAAGGGCAATTTCTAAACTGCGATTGTGCCCTCATTGTTAATATTTTAGAGACATACGTCTGGGTCTTGTGATTCTCACAATATAAAGCTCTTTGCTGTAGGATGTATAGTTTTTAAAATACGACCGTTTGAAGATGGCAACCGCCAAAATACTCTGACCTGTGCCAGGCTGCAGCAGCAAGTGATGTCATAGACAGGGCCTTTTGAACACCTGCTAATGTTTTTATAATTGTATGGTTTAATGTAACTGTGAAGCACTTTGGGCATCAACGTTGCAATTAAATGTGCCATATAAATAAATAACAGTTACTCCGCCCACTCCAGTTGTAGACTACTGGTGGAGGCAAGAACACTTTACACGATTTCCCCAGAAATTGTAGCTTTTCTAGTTATTCTTGTTTTCTTTCTCTCTTTCCCCCTTTCTCCAATAAATGGCAGCAATCATTGTAGTAGAACTTTCCATGGAGAAGTATCCTGATTGTTCTACAGGGTCTTTTTCCCGCTGTTACACAATAATTCTTCTAACATAATGTTTCCCCCTTAATATGTATTGCTACCAATCTCACCGCCAATCCCGAGCTCCAGTTTAGAATACCAGCTGAGCCATTCCTTAGCCAATGATGGTACCCAGTCAGCACAGTATGGAAATCTCTGAGAATGTCACGAGTCGGGTAATTGTTTTAACCTCAGGGATGTATCTGTGCTTCTTCTTTTCATGGATAATGAATGGAGTCTGGCAACCTACAATGAATAGAATTATCCGTCTAGTTGGCCTGTCCCCCTCCAAAAAATGTTTTTGTTTTTTTTCATATTGATCTGATATTTCTTCTGAGATGTTTTCTTCAATAAAAACTACACTTACGTCAAGTATTAGATGTTAATAAGATGTTATTTTCTTATGTGACAGGTGTTGATGGAATTCCTTTCAGATTCTTAAATGGACTTGATCTGTCTCGAAACGGGACCATTTACTTTACTGACTCCAGTAGCAAGTGGGGGAGAAGACATCACAGATACGAGGTACCAAGTCATTTCAGAGGGCAATCATATGACTTCCAGATTCCATTTTTTGCGTGCACAAACACACAGATTGGAATCCTTAACACGTTGGGAAATATTTATCCAAGTGTTCTGAAAGGTGACGGTTAAATTAAGTCATAAGCGGTGGGTTTTTTTTATAATAAATTCTGCCACTTTTGACAAATATTTCCATTTCTGAAGACCTCCAGATTTACAGAGGCACGAAAAAAGTCGTAATCTTTCTGTTTAGAAAAAGTGGCAGAAAAAAAAAAATCATAAACCTGTTCTGTATCAGAATAAATGGTGTATATTCAAACTTGATAACTTGGGGGCAAAAAAAACTACATATGAATTAACTCTGACAGATTTAATACATTTTCATTGGAATTATGCCAGCTCTCAGCTCAGGTGCATCTCACCAGACTTTGTTGGGCTAAGTTCCAGTATTACTGATATGGGCGCTAACCATGTTATTCACTAACGCGAGAATTCAATGTGAATTTTAGATTTAAGGTCAGTTATTTTGGCAGTAAATTTTAAATTCACTCTGAAGTCCCAGCAATTTTCAACCTTTAACACGATGTCTAGTACACAGGTGATGGCACGTCCTTACTGCTCTTTGTTAGACATGCATTTTGTGTCAGTCTAGGTTCTGGAATTGAACAATTTGGGGCGTCTGATAAAGTTTAACCCTGTGAAAAAAGTAGCAGAGACGTTGCTGCATGGCTTATACATGGCTAATGGGCTGGCACTGTCTCCGGATGAGAGTTTTATTCTGATAGCAGAGACCAGCATCTGCAGAATATCAAGGTACGTGAGAACACAAATATCTTTTTTTTCTTTTTTTGCATTGGTTTAAACATTTTTGAGGGGTAAATTAAGAATTAGGCAAAATAAGTGCCTGATGCTGCCAAAATGAACAATGCTCTCCGAATAGATACAAGTACATTTTTTTTAATATTCTACTTATAGTATATACATAGCTAAAGAAACATTTACTCACTTTTATAGGTGAATATAAAGTACCAGTATTACAGATTAGGAGGGGGTGGGTGTTTTGCAAATTAATTAATTAAACACATACCGTAACCATGTGAGATACCAGTAAGTGTCTGTGGCAGTGAATACCGTGGTACGTATAATATGGTGAAGGAGTTGCTATAGATCTAAGGTGTCATAACCCTACTAGTGCATTGTGTACGTCTCAATGTGAGTGACATGATGAGAATGTGCTACATCTATTGGATTGGAATATATACCACAATAAACGTGTGTATGTGGAGGATTCATTAGCTTCTTCATACTTTGCAATAAATGAAAGGACTCCCGATCCCTGTCCTTTCTGCATAGGAAAACCAGTGACTTGATGATGCACTGTTTTAATAACTCAGGATTTCAGTAGCAACACAAAGAATATTTTATTGCAGATAGGAGCTATTCTGTTATACAAATTATTGGGGTTATAGATACATAAAAAGCGAGGTGCCGGGGGGGCGGGGCCCGACCGCCATGCTGACCGGTCGCGGGTTGGAGAGGCTCCTGACAAAATTGGGTCTCCTTTGGAACAAAATTCAAGCAACACAGCAATACTAGTGCCCAAAAGTTCTCAGGTATCCGGGCAGTTGCTAGAGCCACCGCGGTCCCCGAGATCGGGAGTTTCGGAGCCCCTGTGGGCGATATGAGGCTTCGGGGTCTGTGGCCTATGAGGGTGAAGAGCGGGGCGGACGGCCGCCGTCCTGTTTGCAAACCTGGCTGCCATGCAACGGCCGTGCGATGCGCCTCGCGGGTCCCGCTTCCCCCCCCATGGACCGGGGGGTTATCCCGGTCCCCACTGGAGGAAAATACCACCTTCCACTGGCCCACCATCCAGCCTACCTGGCACTGTGCATCACGCGCCTGGGCACCAAAATGGCGGCAATGCGACCAATACCACGCAACATAGCTTCGCCTGCCTGCATGCGGAAACAACAGCTTGCTGAGCATAAGCCTGAACACAAGTGATGTCCCATCTTGGAAGTCCCTGTCTACCTACTCACGAATGAGGCTTGGCTGCCGCGATTGCCCTCCAGGGCCTTAAGATTAGCTTGTACAGGATCCCCACTGATGGCCACGAGGAACCAGCAGCGGCAGGGTACCCAGAGCACACAGCACGGAGGGGGCTTCTAATCCCTCAGCGGATCTGCCTGCGTGGATACCCCATCAATATCAGGCTGCCAGACCAGATGACCCACCTTGCAGGGCACCAGTGGACTATACCAGACACCTTGGCTTACCTGGCTGACTATGTTATATGTTATATGTTATGTTGCCATCTATTTTTGTTTTAACCCTTTTTTGCCATGATAGGCATATGCATATTGAGTCACTCATAATCTTGCTGCCACTTAACAAAATATCTACAATTATTAGCTAATGTTGTACTAATATCTAAACTCTGTAGATTATGCTTATAACCGTGCCTAGCGTGAACAAACGTATTATTACATGAATAGTCAGTTTGGGGAGCCTACCCGTTTTCTCTACTTCAATTCCTCCTCTAAATCTTGTGTCCTACTCAAAATGTCTGTCAGAGCACACTACATTCTACACCTTTTCTACCAGAATAGACCTTATCTTGCAATTAACAATACAAAAATGTGCTGTCTAACCGAATGCCATGACTATGATTCTTAAACCTATTTCTCTGCTTGGAAGTGCTGTCGTGGCCTACAAAGCTTTGTTGTTATAACTTGCACAATATAAATAAAGAATTAAAAAGCGAGGTGCCATTTTTTTTATTTTCTTCTAACGCTTTCTTATTTACGCTAATTTATTCCCTTATAAATTATTCTTTACTGTGTGTCTTCAGTCATTGAATGTTACATAGTTACATAGCTGAAAAGAGACTTGCGTCCATCAAGTTCAGCCTTCCTCACAAATGTTGTTGCTGTTAATGTCCATGTTTCATTTTGGTTGTGCAAAACTGAGCCTTTTCTTTTGAAAACATTTTTCCACCACTGTAAGTATGACAGGTTTTGTCTGCAGGTAAGCAGTTTTTACATTCTTCAATTTTGTTTAATGGATTAAAAAAAAAATCCTTTATATTGCAGGTGCACTTTAAAAAACATTTTTTGGCGGTAGACTCATTTTGTTTTATTTTGTGAATGTAATCAATTTCAAAAATCATCAGGACACGAAAAACATCCATGAAAAGTTACATTATTTTGGCTCACTACAGAAAAGGTCCCAATGTAACAAATGGTTGAGTAACCGTTCTCATACATGAAATGGCAAATACACACAAATCTGGCACAAAGGTGAAAGCAAGCGTGAGAATTGTTATACATAGTGTCTATTGTTTGCTTTTATGGAACATACAGTTCTGCTGTGTTGAAAGCCACATCTTGCTACAGAATAAAATGAACGTTTGAGCAATAAAAACAACTAAACAGAAGGTAATAAAGTTATAAACATGGCGAGTAAATCTCTGTAAAGTGCATGACAAGTAACCTAAATATATGATGCTCGCAGTAAACAATCTGTAATATTATTTTACAATAAGGACAGCGCTTGGTGCAGAAAAGGCAGCAATACGTTAAAAAAACAAACAAACAAACACTCTTTAAATTTTGTCACGTAAATGAAAATACAAGGTAGTAGAATTTAAGTTGTGCCAAAAATACAATTTAATAAAGCAGGTGAAATGCATTGGTGTTATTGTGTGCTGAATGCGTTTTCGTGCTCTTTATTATTACTTTCACACTAAACTCCACACAATTGGAAATATTTTATCACTAAACATGGTGCACTGCAAGTTACCAGCAGTTTGTACAAGTGAGAATCAAACCACCTAAAGCTATTATACTCTGAGCCCAGTACACTGCTCGCAATATTGTGAGTATATGAGATTAATTTTACTATATACATCACCATGTGGTTTTATACTATTGGAGGCTTTTCTTTGTTTCTTTTTTTGGGTTCTCCAAACAAATTTCATTGCCTTGTATATCCCAAACTGGGATAAGCCCTTCCCTGCTGTTGCTTAACACTGAGCTAGTTGGGTAGGTCATAACCACCTGAGTGTGGTACCTCATCATGACTTACTATGGCGACAGTATAGTTCTATCGGAATTACACTATTCTCTGTTCTTTGGATTGATATCTACAAGGAGCACTGCTCTAAAATGTCACCTTTTTGACGCAACTTAAATAATGCTACCTTGATTCTTTTATATGCATTTATGATTTTATTATGAACGTTTTTTATTATTTTTCAAAAATTGGGCAATTAATAATAGAAAATGCCCATAACCCCAAAACTCGATTAGTATTATGTATGTTTTTGGATTTTTTTTTGTTAGATACTGGCTAACCGGCAGCAGAAGAGGAGTCCACGAAGTCTTTGTGGACAATATGCCCGGCTATCCGGATAATATCAGGCTGTCAAGTCACGACACCTACAGAATTGGTTTATCTACAACACGGTTTCCTGGACTATTTCCCCCATTCTTGGATGCCATTGCACCCTATCCAGCACTGAAGAGATTAATTGTCAAGGTACAGTACATGCTTTTCATCTGGGACTGGGACCATCTCCCATCTATCATGACTTGTTTAATCTAACCGAAAATAGATTGGTTTACAAGCCAACCAATCAGAGCTCCCGGACTGAAATTTCAACGTGTAGTATGGCCTTTATAAGGGCTTTACTGCCTTGAGAGCTAAGACTGCGCAAAGTCCTTGCAATTTGTTTTGCAGCACATTTTACTTTTTGGGGTAGAGAGGCAAGGAGATTTAGCACTGGAACACAATCTTGGGGTTAAACAGTTAGAGAATGGTTTAACCCCTTAACGACACATGACATGTGTGACATGTCATGATTCCCTTTTATTCCAGATGTTTGGTCCTTAAGTGAGCCAGCAGTAAGGACCTCCTGGCACTATAACAACTTAAGTTTGTTTTTGCCAACAGGTAATTGCCACTAAAGCATCTTCACTTTCGTAAGATTATTTTTTCCAACTTTACACTATTGTGCTTAATATATCACCTGATTACACACACTAAAGATGAGTCTTGCCATTTAACCCCTTCTAGTACCCCTACACCCTTTCCTTCCACAGAGTCCAATATGCATTTTATCACCTGGATATTTTTAATAGCTCACATATTCTCCATGGATCCTGCCCTTATTTGCCAGCTTTACCTCTTGTGTCTTTGTCAATATTTTTCATGAAAACCCCTTTATATGACGGCATTGCACCAGACAACGTTGCTGCAAATTTTTTTCATTTTGGTTTAATCTTTCAGTTCTGCAATCTGTAACACTTCATTTACTAGCAGGAAGTGTGTGTGCAATGCTTTACTTCCACTCTCCCCCAACACTTACAAAGATAGAGGGGAGGTTTAGTCTCCGTGTTTTATGTCTTGGTGTAATCCACCCCTTGCCTTACTCCATAGTTTTCCTAATATCTTGGACCTCTCACCAGCATCAGTACATCAAGACACTGCTGTATAAGACATCGATATACAGGGAGTGCAGAATTATTAGGCAAGTTGTATTTTTGAGGATTAATTTTATTATTGAACAACAACCATGTTCTCAATGAACCCAAAAAACTAATTAATATCAAAGCTGAATATTTTTGGAAGTAGTTTTTAGTTTGTTTTCAGTTATAGCTATGTTAGGGGGATATCTGTGTGTGCAGGTGACTATTACTGTGCATAATTATTAGGCAACTTAACAAAAAACAAATATATACCCATTTCAATTATTTATTATTACCAGTGAAACCAATATAACATCTCAACATTCACAAATATACATTTCTGACATTCAAAAACAAAACAAAAACAAATCAGTGACCAATATAGCCACCTTTCTTTGCAAGGACACTCAAAAGCCTGCCATCCATGGATTCTGTCAGTGTTTTGATCTGTTCACCATCAACATTGCGTGCAGCAGCAACCACAGCCTCCCAGACACTGTTCAGAGAGGTGTACTGTTTTCCCTCCTTGTAAATCTCACATTTGATGATGGACCACAGGTTCTCAATGGGGTTCAGATCAGGTGAACAAGGAGGCCATGTCATTAGATTTTCTTCTTTTATACCCTTTCTTGCCAGCCACGCTGTGGAGTACTTGGACGCGTGTGATGGAGCATTGTCCTGCATGAAAATCATGTTTTTCTTGAAGGATGCAGACTTCTTCCTGTACCACTGCTTGAAGAAGGTGTCTTCCAGGAACTGGCAGTAGGACTGGGAGTTGAGCTTGACTCCATCCTCAACCCGAAAAGGCCCCACAAGCTCATCTTTGATGATACCAGCCCAAACCAGTACTCCACCTCCACCTTGCTGGCGTCTGAGTCGGACTGGAGCTCTCTGCCCTTTACCAATCCAGCCACGGGCCCATCCATCTGGCCCATCAAGACTCACCCTCATTTCATCAGTCCATAAAACCTTAGAAAAATCAGTCTTGAGATATTTCTTGGCCCAGTCTTGACGTTTCAGCTTGTGTGTCTTGTTCAGTGGTGGTCGTCTTTCAGCCTTTCTTACCTTGGCCATGTCTCTGAGTATTGCACACCTTGTGCTTTTGGGCACTCTAGTGATGTTGCAGCTCTGAAATATGGCCAAACTGGTAGCAAGTGGCATCGTGGCAGCTGCACGCTTGACTTTTCTCAGTTCATGGGCAGTTATTTTGCGCCTTGGTTTTTCCACACGCTTCTTGCGACCCTGTTGACTATTTTGAATGAAACGCTTGATTGTTCGATGATCACGCTTCAGAAGCTTTGCAATTTTTAGAGTGCTGCATCCCTCTGCAAGATATCTCACTATTTTTGACTTTTCTGAGCCTGTCAAGTCCTTCTTTTGACCCATTTTGCCAAAGGAAAGGAAGTTGCCTAATAATTATGCACACCTGATATAGGGTGTTGATGTCATTAGACCACACCCTTCTCATTACAGAGATGCACATCACCTAATATGCTTAATTGGTAGTAGGCTTTTGAGCCTATACAGCTTGGAGTAAGACAACATGCATAAAGAGGATGATGTGGTCAAAATACTCATTTGCCTAATAATTCTGCACTCCCTGTATACAAACGTTTTTACTAAAATCAGCATCCTTCCTATATTCTCAGCTTACTGACTTCATCCCCAACAATCCCACAAATAGTACCCCAGCGAATACATTTCCCATTTTAGGGAGGTGGCAGGAGGTTTGTTCTTTGCATTATATTTTAGATTATGGAACTAAATTCCAAACAGTGTAGTTGCAATGTGATATCATCTGCGATTTATCAGATCTAAAATAAAAAAAACAGCTGTCAATGGGTTAATTAAGGAATTATGTTCTCACACTAATGCAGTGAATCAAATTGTTTCTCCTCCCAAAGGCAGCTGCACAAGAGGGTGATGGCCAAAAAATATGTCATTCACCATCGCAATGAAAGGAATGTATATCATCAAATATTCAGTGTCTGTATCTGGGGTAATATAGGAGACAGCGCCAGCTGACTGCGGTATAAACTGAAATTTATAGGGACCCGTCCTCTATAGAGCTGCAAGATGGATTTGACCACCACCTATTTATGCATCATATAGGTAATGTATTATAGATTTCCTCTGCTTCATGGACCTCTTATCCAACCAGAAACTGGCTTCTCCGCTTCACTTGTTCCCATAACTTTCTATAAGATTCTGAGCATATGGATAGAACACAGATTTATAAGAGTCGTCGTTCTCATTACAGCTGTTTACTGAGACTTGTACAGCCTGCAGTTAGCTTCATTCATGAAAAGCATAAATTAAGCTATCTTGCATTGTTATTGATATTGGGTGCACATGGCTTCGCTCAGAACAATTACTGCTAATCTACCATTTCTGTGCTCCCTCGAATAGAGCTTTAAGTGATGAGGTCATGTGCAGCTGTATTATGGGTTTATGGAGAAAAACTGTTTGTGGTTTGTTTTTAAATTCGTACAACACCCCAGGGTCAATTACTAACCTGGGGACTATGGATCCCACCTGTAGCACATTGAGGTCATTGCGACCTAACCCTCCAATAGCACAGTATTCTGTCTGTCACTTAGTGAATTAAAAGTTGTACTTGTTGGCGCTACATACATTTCACTATAATCTTACAAAGACCTGACTTCTTTGACACTTGCAGGTTACTCCGTTGTCCTTTTACAGCGTCCTCCTGAGAAAGCATGGCTTGTTTCTGGAAGTCAGTGACCAAGGTGATGTTGTAGAGAGTTACCATGACCCGGATGGGAGGGTGACGTGGGCTGTGAGTGACGTGTTTGAACATTATGGGCAGCTATACCTGGGGAACACTGACCTTCCTTTCCTTGTGGTTCTAACTAATGACTAATGAACAGTAACCTGTGACTAGTAAGCGCCTACTTTATATGTGTTAATGGATTGGTGTAAATTAGTTATTTTACATGTACGGTCATGTGTATAGTTTGTATTTTTTTTTTTTTTTTATATATATAAAACTTTTTTCACCAACAATATTATGTTACAGTTTTAGAGATCCAAAGCAACTGTTTAAATGCCAAGATATAATTCGTAGCTTTGATTCTGTTCCAAGCAGGGAATGCATTTCATTTACAAATAAATGGGACCTGGTAATGTACAGGGGTAATATAAGGACCATAACCACTACATGTCAATGCCATCCCACAGTTCTTGATCAAATATTTTTTGTTGATCAAACACAGACTTCCCTATGTCACATGACATGCTCAATGAATCAGTGCTGTCCAAAAGGCGATACATCAGATAATGTGAATTAAGTAGAACTTCTGCTCAAATAGTTTGATCAGGAATCAAAGGGGATGGCAGATGCAGCCTAATAACATGATAACGGCTACATTAGCATGTAGTGGTTATAGTGCTTGGACATCCACATTACACCTGAAAGTGCCATCGGTGTGCCCAACAAATTTGTATACAATGCACATAGAGTTACACCACTGGGAGGGTTACACCACTGGCATTGAATGGGCTATATATTTAAAATACTTGTAAAATATATTTTCTGCAGCCATCACTTTATTTGCATTAGAGTATTTCACTCCCTGCAGAGTCTGCAACATTTCCCCTATTCGTAAACAAAAGGTGGCTTTAATTAAAGGCCTTGATACTACATTGCAATTTCAAGTAATGTCAACTTGAACCTAAAGGAGCTTATTCACTAAACAATCTATTGAAAATCAAATTGCAAAACTCAGACCAAAATGGCAGAGTTGGAAAAATTCTCTCTCTCAATAATGCACACAAATTGGCCATTTTAGTCAGGATTTTGCAATTTAAGTTTTCGGCTCAATGCAAATCCCTGTTTCCTCAATAAACACAAAGTATTTTTGGATATTCCCGTTTAGTGTTCCTATTACTTTATGTACCAAAAACCGTATTAAACGTTGTATTTCGTATGCCATTTAATATAGTGTCATTTTTAACTTTGTATCAAATCCAGCCTGGATTTCTTTTTTAATAAACAAAAGATCAAACACCCTCGTATGTCTCTATTATTGTAATCTTACGGTTTATTTTCCATACTTAATTATTTAAAGCAAGTATCACTACTACACTTGTGTCAGTGACTTTTATCATTATTATTATTTTCTATTTACGCAGTTAAAGAAAGACTGGTAGCTGAAAAGTAGATGTCCTAAACCCATTGCTCAGTAAAACACTCCAGTTTACTGTATTAGGGGGGAAATGCAAAATAAAATGATATATTAAAATCAAGAAGACCTTTGTATTTCTAAATCCCAATATTTTTATGTTGCAAAAGATACCAGAATTCTACACAAAGTCCACGAGGAGCCACTTGTCTCCTCGCCCTATGCTGCCGCCCCCCCTGTTCCTTCTTAATGAATTTCCAGATGGTAATCGGAATTACTACACTATAAATAATCAAGGACTGCATTAAAACTATCGTAATCCTGATGTCCACATGATTGTGGCACACTATGAGGTGGCTTGGGGCAAAGTAAACCCTGCCTTTATACAATGAGCATGCCAGTGCTACTTGCAAGGCAAGAGCACCACCTAATGGACATGATTCTAATACACTGACATTTTATTTTCATCGGATTTTCTACAGGGCCACTGAGCTTTTGGCAACCCATTGTGAGGCTGGTGGGGCCCCCCGCAGGGAGCTAGCAGTCTGCACCCCTGTAAGGTGCATACCACATGTTTTGTTACCATGGCAACACCCTGCCAGCTGGTGCAGACCATAGAAACGCAGAATGTGACGGCAGATAAGGACCATTCGGCCCATCTAGTCTGCCCAATTTTCTAAATACTTTCATTAGTCCCTGGCCTTATCTTATAGTTAGGATAGCCTTATGCCTATCCCACGCATGCTTAAACTCCCTCACTGTGTTATCCTCTGTCACTTCAGCTGGAAGGCTATTCCATGCATCCACTACCCTCTCAGTAAGTTATACTTCCTGAAATAATTTTTAAACCTTTGTTCCTCTAATTTAAGACTATGTCCTCTTGTTGTGGTAGTTTTTCTTCTTTTAAATATAGTCTCCTCCTTTACTGTGTTGATTCCCTTTATATATTTAAATGTTTCTATCATATACCCCTGTCTCGTCTTTCCTCCAAGCTATACATGTTAAGATCCTTTAACCTTTCCTGGTAAGTTTTATCCTGCAATCCATGAACCAGTTTAGTAGCCCTTCTCTGAACTCTTTCCAAAGTATCAATATCCTTCTGAAGATACGGTCTCCAGTACTGTGTACAATACTCCAAGTGAGGTCTCACCCAGTGGTGTATTTTGGATCTGTGCTGCCCTAAGCATGACGGAACTCAGGTACCCCCTAATTTAAATTTGCCCACCCCTTCCTGTTAAGGCCACACCTCTTCCTATTAAAGACTAACACACACTTTGACTGACAGACACACACTCTCAGATACACACACTCACTGATTTGACACAATCTGACAGATGCACACAATCACTGGCACACACGACGCAGACACACATAGTCACTCAGACACACAGGATCCCTCAGAGAAACACACTGACATACACAATCACTCAGACACACACTAACAGACATACACTCACCCACGGAAACACTGACAGACATACACATTCACTGAATGACACACTTATTCATTTACACATTCACTGACAGACACACACATTCACAGAAACACACACACACATTTCCCCCCAACACTCACAGATTATTTAAAGTTTAAATCCACCCAGTCCCCCTACCTTTGGGAGAGCTAGGTGGAGTTTTTACCTGGGGTCGGGCTGTTTTGGCTGGGAGAAAGGCAGGGGTGCAGACTGCTAGTTGAGTTCTAGGCGGGCATCATATTCCGGCTCCTTGCATCACGCAAGGGAGCTGGTACAGAGAGCTCACAAATCAGCGCTCCCTCTCCTCCTACCTGGACTTCAGCTAGCCGCCTGCCACCAGGCTAAAAAGGTATTTGCCTGGGCATTTGAGGGTGGTGTTTTTTGCCGCCCCATGGAAAATGCCGCACGAGGCAAATGCCTTGTTTGCCTCGCAGCAAATACAGTGCTGGTTTCACCGGTGCTCTGTACAATGGCATGAGCACTTCCCTCTTTTTACTGCTAATACCTCTCCCTATACAACCAAGCATTCTGCTAGCATTTCATGCTGCTCTGTTACATTGTCTGCCTACCTTTTAGTCAACTGAAATATTTACTCCTAGATCCCTTTCCTCAGATGTTGGGGTTAGGACTGTATTGAATAGTCTATAATCGTCTATGCATTATCTTGCACTTAGACACTTTAAATGTCAGTTGACACAGCTCTGACCATTTTGCTAGTTTATCTAAATCCTTTGCTACTTGGCTTCGCTCTCCTGGATATCACTAATAAAAATATTAAAGAGAATGGGTCCAAGTACAGATCCGTGAGGTACCCCACTGGTGACAAGCCCATGCTTCGAATATACTCTATTCAGTTACTGCCTAACCCATTCGACAATATTGGAATCCAAACGCAAAGATTGAAGGATTGTCAATAAACTGCAATGTGCAACAGTGTCAAAAGCCCTACTGAAATCTAGGTAAGCAATGTCTACTGCACCACCTCGATATATTATTTTAGTTACCGGATCAAAAAAATTTTTTTTTTTAAATCAATAAGACGTGTTTGGCATGATCTCACGAAAGTAAACCCTTATTGACTCTGATCTTGAAATCCATTATTTTAGATGTTCAACAATCCTATCCTTTAACATGTTTCCATTACTTCCCTACTATTGAAAGTAATGCTTACTGGCCTATAGTTTCCCCATGTCTGCCTACTACCTTTCTTGCAAATTGGCACAACATTCGCTAATTTCCAATCTTTTAGGACTACTCCCGTTAATGATTGGTTAAGTAAATCCGTTGACGGTTTTGCTAGTAAACCACTATGTTCTTTTAATAACTTGGGGCCTGATGGAATACACCCAATAGACTTATTTATGTATGTATGTTTACTTTGGACAGCTGAAATAGAACCTCTTCCTTTGTCAACATATATGTAACAAATGACTTTTTCCTAAATGAAGTCCCTTTCTTTTATTTTCATCTGTAAAAACTGAACAAAAATATTAATTGAGGCAGTCAGCTATACTTTTATCATCTTCTACATACCTTCCTTCTTTTGGTTTTAGTCTAACTGCTTGTTTTACTTTTGTTTTCGCATTCTTGTATCTAAAACATTTTATCGGACTGGGCTATTTTCTCATTTGTGTGTGCTGTGGAAGCTCTTATAACTTGCTTTGCCGCTTTCTGACGAATCTTATAGATCTGTATATCTTCCTAAACTCTGTATTGTTATATACATGTATATATACAATATATATTCATTTTTACTAAATGCTAACCTTTTGCTTTTTACTATTTTGGCAAGCCTAATGCAATTTTCTTTTGCCTTCAGTAGTGCAAATTTTAAATAATCCCATTCGACCTGGTGGTGAAATGGGATTATTTGAAGAGAGGCGGGGGAGGAGGGGGTAAATACCTGTGCCCTGTTTACACGCACATTCATTTTAGAATATTTAAATTCTCCAGCTAGCTTGAGGCTGCATGGCAAACTGCATTATTGTAAAAAAAAAAAAAGTTAAATTCCCCACTATAATACACTCTGATTATTCATGGTCGGAGACAATTTGGGCAAAATATTGACTTTCATTCAATGTTCCCTAAACTGAATTGTAACAAATGGAAATTCCAAATGGCAACATTTAGTGGATCTAGTATTGTATTTTTCCAAGTAAGCTACAGGCAATTATTATTTTAGCTTACAGGGACACTATAGTCACCAGAACAACTACAGCTTATTTAATTTGTTCTGGTGAGTAGAATCATTACCTTCAGGCTTTTTGCTGTAAACACTGTCTTTTCAGAGAAAATGCAGTGTTTACATCACACTGGCCACTCCTCAGGTGGCTGTTAGAGATCCTTTCTGGGTCATGGCTGCCTAAAATGCATCCAAACATTCAGTGTCTCCTCCCTCTGCATGCAGACACTGAACTTTCCTCATAGAGATTCATTGATTTAATTCACCTCTATGAGGAGATGCTGATTGGCCAGGGCTGTGTTTGAATCATGCTGGCTCTGCCCCTGAGCTGCCTCTTTGTCAGTCTCAGCCAATCCTATGGAGAAGCATTGTGATTGGATCAGGCTACCACTTCTGATGATGTCAGCAGACTGTTTGTTTTTCTAACAGCATGCAGAGTTACAGCTTCTAGCTTGAATACAGTAAGACTTTTACTATATTTATGGAGGCATGAGGGGCCCAGGGGGGCTAGATGGTGGTTTTAACACGATAGGGTCAGGAATACATGTTTGTGTTCCTGCCCCCTATAGTTATCCTTTAAATTCAGCAATTCAAATTTTCATTCTCTACAATTCAGCATTTAAAGCAGCTCTGTCACCTGGACCAAAGGAGCATTTCATCACATTACCGGCTTTACAGAAGCTTTGTCACCCACGGGAGTCTCACCAGAGCAAGCACAGACTCTAATTTCTGAATGGCTGCTTAGTGCCGACCCCTTCCCCACGCCAATTCCCTTTACCATGGTTTTTTTTCCTTCTCTGGTTGAAGGACATTTGCCTTCCCTTTTTAAAAAAAAAAATTTATTTGCTTAAAGTCATGGTACAGATATCACTGTTTTGTATACATAGAATATTGAGAAGTAACAATTATCTGTATGCGTCAAATACATAGAAAACAAGAATTTGTTGATAACAATTGTCTGTATGGTTTGTGAATCAAGATGTGTTTAAGTAAATACAAAAACAAAGAACAAAGAGAACCCTGGTAGAATGGTATGGAGTGTATGTTGGAAGTTTTCCCCTTCGGTTGGCTTGCCCATGCTATTGCGTCTTGACCAAGGGTGCGTGTGGGATCCCCCCTCATGGGGAATGCTGAAGGTACATGCACCACCAGGACCAGATAGATGTGTAAGAGTGGTATCTGTCTGAGAGGGAGTAGCAAATTTCCTCCATATTCCTAGTGGTTTCCACTCTTTGGATCCAATCTCTTATGGGCGGCGGGTTTGATTTTTTCCAGTATATAGGGATCAATTGGTTTGCCACTGTTATCAAATGTAGGAGTAGTTGTGTTTTTTCTTTGGGAAAGTTTGGTAGTGGGAGAAGGAAGATGAAATAATCTGGGGTTGGGGTCAGTTTTTCCCCCAGTATCGTCTGTATGAGGCTTGATATGCGCCTCCAGTAGGTTTGTATTTCTGGGCAGGACCACCAGATGTGTGATGGTGTGCCTGAGTGGTGATGGCATCTCCAACATTGATCAGAGGATTGGGGGATAGTCTCGCTGGTGTATAATACCATCTTACTATTCTTTTATAGTTACTCTCTTGGGTCTCTGTGTTTCTAGATGTTTTGTGAATATTTCTAAAGATTTTGCGCCACCTATCAGGTGGTATGGTGATATTGAGCTCCGATTCCCATGCAGAAGTGAAGGCCTAAGGGGGTTTGGGCTGTATGGAGAGAAGGAGAGTTTACATGACAGAGATTAGCTTCTTTTTTAATATGTGCCCCTTGCAATACTTTTCAAAGGGTGTTAGTTCTCGGAGTGCCCTCTGAGCCAAGTGTCCTTTCTTTAAAAAGTGTACCATTTGCATGTATGAAAACATTTGCATTGCTGTGATATCAGTCTCCGGTAACAATTTGTGTAAAGGTTTGATTTCATTCCCTTCAATTACTGCCTCTACTGACAAGTATTGTGAGTTATGATATTGCTTATATATTTTCCCACCTGCTCCAGGAGGGAACAAGGGCTTGTGAGTGATTGTATACAGTGGTGAGGGATAGGGGGATATGTCCTGATGTGAGCATATGTGCGCCCATAGTCTGAGCATGGGGGTGATGGTAGGATGTGTGCCATGGTGTAGTAGGGAAGATCCTACCTTGTGCCTCGGGATTGTGTAGATCGGGGTTTGAAATAGGCGGCTTCCAGTTTCACCCATTGCTCATCTGAGTGTGGGTTGCACCATTCGTATACTCTAGTGCAGTGTTCCCAACCCAGTCCTCAAGGCACACCAACCAGTCCAGGATTTAGGGATTACCCAGTTGTGTCTAAGGTGTTTTTTTTCTTCTTTGTAAAAACACCTTAGACACAACTGGGTAATCCCTAAATCCTGGACTGGTAGGTGTGCCTTGAGGATTGGGTTGGGAAACACTGCTCTAGTGAGTAGAGTTGCTTTGTGGTATAATTCCACATCTGGGAGGCCAACCCCCCCCTCATCTTTTGGTCATTTAAGAAGTGAAAAGGATAATCGGGGTTTCTTATTGGCCCACATGTAGGCGGTGAATAACTTGTGGAGGGTATTGAAAAAAGTCTTTGGGCAGGTAGATGGGTAGGACTTGCAGTAAATAAAGGAGGCGGGGTAGCACATTTGTTTTTAGAATGCTTATTCGGCAGAACCATCCAAAATGGGGCATGTTCCAAGACTTAAAGCGGCACTGTCATGCCGAACTTACCTTTCCTCATTCTCTTCCTCTTCTCCCCCTCTCTCAGGATCTGTTCTTCTTTTCTTCCTGTCTTCTTTAGTTTTCTTTAAAATCATAAGACAAAGTAGGGACTCTTTGCCTTATGGAGGATTCCTCCGCTTGACCAGCTCTGACCAGCGGAGGAGCAAAGTGTGCTTCATTTCCGCTGGTCAGAGCAATTTTCCCATGATCCCTAGCTTTCCTCAGTGTTCCCACAATGCTTCCTGTCATTTTACATGAAACTGCCGAATTGCGTTCTAACTGAATGACAACAGTATGTTCGTTTCTTTTAGAACGCAATTCGGCATTTTATTCGGATCGGAATTTCATTCTAATGAATGAAACTCTGATCCTATTCATTGCTGTGGCTGCATCTTGCAGCCGCTTAGTAGATAACTCCCTAATTCCCACGGTATCAGGGAGCTATCTACTAAAAGGCTGAAAGACCTAAATTGGTCTAACAGCCAACTTTACTAATACTAAGTAAAGATTACTTAGTATTAGTAAATAATATGCCCCTACTCGCTATATCGCGAGTAGGGGCATGTGTAGTAAGCAGTGAGCAGCTTATAGCTGCTCACTGTAAAAAAAATATAAATAAAAAAACTAATAACCCCCCCCCCCCATGCCCGTGGGGGCCCTAAATAAAGATGGGGGGGAACCTACTGGCCCCCCCCCTGGCCCCCACCCCTGCGCGGTGGGTGGGTGGGGGCCCTAATAAAACAATAAGGGGGGGGACCTACTGTCCTCCCCCCCCTGGCCCCCACCCCTGAGCGGTGGGTGGGGGCCCTAAATGAAACACCCCCCCCCAATCAAGGTGACTAGGGGTCCCAAGCCCCTAGTCACCAACCCCCCACCCAAAAAAACCTATCCCCTACCTACCCCCCTCACCCTACAAATAGTGAGGGGGGAATAAAATAACTAACCTGTAAAAAAAAAAATTAAACTTACCATTTGACGTCTTCTTTTTTCTAAAATCTTCTTTCTTCAGCCCCCAAAAAGGCCAAATAAAAATCCATTACACCCGTCGCACTTTAAAAAAAAACAAAAAAAAACGAGCGCAAAACAAAAAATTAATCCAAGTTCACCCTTCGAGGGCACGCCGCATACTGAGCTCCGCAGGGCACTAAATGCCACCATCACACTCTTGCCCAAACCAGGCAAAGATCTCACACAATGCGGAAGTTATAGACCAATATCCCTAATTAACATTGACCTCAAATTATTCACCAAAATTCTATCCAATCGCTTACGCCCAATCCTCCAGGATTTGATCCACCCAGACCAGTCGGGATTTGTTTCAGGGACTGAGGCTAAGCATAACACAACCAAGATCCTAAACCTCATACACCACGCAAAGCGCTTGGGAGACACCAGCTTACTCCTGTCGATTGACGCGGAGAAAGCGTTCGACAGGGTAGACTGGACCCTGATGAGGCTCACACTTCAACATATGGGCTTTGGTCCCAATTGGATGAAGTGGCTGGAAGCGGTTTATTCAACACCCACATACATGGGATCCAAGTAGGAGACACAATCCACAAGATAGCCGCATTTGCAGATGATATGCTCTTCACAATCACACATTCCTCCATTTCTTTACCACATATCATGAGGGAAATGACATTATACAGTAAACTTTCAGGCAAACTTAAGCAAATGTGAAATCCTCCCTCACAAACTGCAGAACAACTACGACAGGATTATCCATTTACTTGGGCAAAGGGGTCACTTAAATACGTAGGGTATTACATAACAAATGACATCTCTCAGATATACGATCTCAACTTCCCCAAACTGATCCAAACAATAACTATGGACCTTAAAGCGGCACTGTCATGCCGAAACCCGTTTTTTTTTTTAACCCCCCTCCCGCCTCCACTACATCCAATTGACCCACTAGTCACCCCCAAATGCCCCTAAGCCCCCCACATTACCTATTTTTTAATCCTTATTTTCTGGCCCGATCTTGATTCAGGGCGCCGCCATCTTTGTGTGGGTAGATGAAGTCCCTGTGGGACACGTCATCAGCCCTCACTAGGCAGACACTGAGATTCCCGCACATGCCCAGTGAAACACCTGGACATGCGAACGGGAATTTCATCTATTCATTCATTCATCAGACAGACGAATGAGTGAATAGAAAGATCAGCCGAACAAACAAACACAATGTATCAGTGTTAGTTTGTTCGTGCAGGTTATTACAAGGAGGGAGCTACCGGCGTGCAGCTCCCTCCTTGTAATATGTAACTATTGAAGCGGCAGGGAGCAGTGCTCCCCACCACTTCATAAGCCCCCCAGTACCCCTCTCACTCTATGGGGGTCAATATGACCCCTCACTATATAATTTTAAGGACCACCCCCTCTCCAATAGAGGACATCCAAGAGTTTCTCGCAAGTAGAATTTCGGCCACCATACCGGCTAACCTTGCCTTCCCTTTTTAGTCTTTAAAAAGAAGATGAGGCGTGTTATGTGCTGTATAGCATTTGACGGACACTACCGTTGTGTACCAGTGTTGTCCTTAAATAAAATAAGGTGTGGAGGAAGAAAAAAAAAGGGAGCATTTCATACAGATAAAAAATATTTAAGACAAACTAGGGACTACTTTGTCTTACAGTAAAATTCTCTGCTTGGCAAATCCTGACAAAAGGTGGAGCTACCGCTAGTGACCACTATAGGAATAAGGCATTATTTCTCGATTAATATCTTCCGATGCTGTGGCAGGATCCTCCATAAACAATAGTGTTGTACACACACACACACGCACGCGAGAATGCAACACTGATTTGGGCTCGTGGCAGATGATGTGCTAGGAGCTGAATAAAAAAGCTGCAACCCAAGCGGTGATATCACCATCAGGGTTTTTGCTAAATATGCAATATGTCTGAATTTAAAAATGTAGTGCAACATAGAAATTTGAAAATAGAATGGACTTGGAGAATTATTCTCTTTGGATGTTTTTGTTCTTAAATTCCCTATTAATTCATGTTAATTCTCAATTTAGTAAATAACCCAGTTAGTAAATATCCCTAATTAACCATATTGTATCTTGTTATCCGAGATAAAGTGATTTGTTTCAAGTGTTTTTAGCTCCCCCCAAAAAATATTTGTAATATTCACCATGGTGATTGATTGTTCCCTTTTTCTTATAACCAAATCAGTACATTAAATAATTTGTATCAAGAATGCAAAGTGAATTTTAAATTTATGGCTAATTCATCTATTTTGGTCTAAAGTCTTTATTTTTGTCTTTAGTGAATAACCCTGAAATAGTAGGGGAAACACACCGGTATACGCTGTATATTTAGAAAAAACAAAAAAAGGAAAATCAAGAAAATAAATAACAAAAACACAGAAATAATTGTCATTTATTGAAAAAAATGCAGCAGTGAACAGGGTCAATTAAAGGGCACTTTCTATTCAAAATGGCCAAACTCAAAGCAGGTCACAATATAATTGGAAGATCACACAAAAAATGACAAACACAGAAGAGGAAAACAAAGTCAAGAAAATGTATTTTTTATAAAATTAAATGTATTCAACTAGCAGCTATAAATTATGAGTAAAACCCTCTAAAAACTGATTTAATTTTTTTTTGCTTATATCAGTCTCTCCCTCTCCTCTGTCTGGTTTGCAGGGAATAAACATGCAAGGGAGGTCTAAAAGGAAGCCGCCTAACATTGGTAGATCTACGATGCCCATGATAATTTACTGACTTTAGGGGGCCTAGCTTGTTGCCATCTAGATAATGCAGCTTGCACTATCAGAGTGGGTTAATGATATATTGTAAGCCTGAATTAATGGTCTGACACATGGTGCAAGTTCTTTGTATCTGAATCCTATTGCAGCGGAGGGTCTATGTACGATGAGTAAAACCACCAGGAAGTATCAATGGCAGAATAGAAAATGTAACCTGCAACACTGAAAGTTAAAAATATCAAAAGTATGCTTACAAATTATTGGCTAGCATATCATCAAAGAAAACACACTCTCCGAATACAATTACGTATGCCAATGGCTCCCAATGGACCCAAGTGGACTGGAGAACCACTAACTAGTACAGAATGTTGTGTGTAAACTGGAAGATTTTTAGCATGTTATTTTCTAAATGGAATATTTTGAATTAGCAAGTGATATTAGGTCAACAACATTACTGATACTTTTTCTTATTGCTAGATTTGCCTACGATTTTTTGGAGTTAAGGGGGAGGTTTCCTTTATCCACAATTCACAGTTTAACAATTAAGCCCCTATGATTCCAGTTTTCTGTGAATATTTTAAAACAATCCTCACTTGGATTTCGCCTGTTAGAACACCTCTGGGTATGGAAAGCAAACAGAGTCTGGGTTTAACCAAGAATAGATTGTAAAAGAATCTGTGAGAATATAGGTAGGTAGATGGGTCAGTAGCTGCCCAGCATCCTACTAACAAACGGTTGATTATGGAGCCTCTGAACCTAATCTACAGGGTTGCTTAAATTGTACACCAAAACAACCAAACGGAGTACCATTCTTCAGGTCTATGTTGGCCTAATATTTGAAATTTAATTAAATGTGCCAACAAATTAAACTTAACTGAATAACCCTGTAGTGTGTCCAAGTATGTAACCTGATTTAAAGAAAAATAATTAAGTTTGAATCCCAAAAAGATCTCCAGATCACTGGATTGTACTAAAAAAAACCCAAAAAACAGAAGATTGCAAAAAACACAAACTGGTGGGCTAGGAGATAAACCGGTATTTTCTAAAATAGTCTCTTTAATCTATCTGCCTTAAGCAATTTGTTTAAGAATATTTAGCCGTTACATAGTAGTTTGTGTAGATGGGTCGCTCCCATATTATTTTAGTGAATGTTCTACATTTTTTTTTTTCCCCTCGATCGTATGGACATGTGCAAACGCTACAAAAACAAAGGCCCTTCACCTGTTACAGTCTCATGGTAGTTTTTTTTTTTTGTTTCTCCAAACTAAAATTTAAGAGCAACATGTATTCAATGCTCATATCTGTAACAAATACAGGGATTTAGTCACACCATATGGCCACACTGTGTTAATCTATCTCTGTCTAAATTCCCACTTCTAATCTAATTGTAACATGGGAGATAAACACACCAACTGTAATACTACTACTTAAACCACTTCAAAGGCTCAAAGTGATTTATATGCCTTTTAAGCCACTTACAGGGCACCTGTGCGTGAAGAGGTGGGGGCGCCTCATTCTTACAGGGTTATTCTTTAGATTGAGAATTGCTAGGAATTCTAAGTGAATTTCAAAATTTAGGTCAAAATAGAAAAACAAGTTTTACAAAATCAGCTCAGTTTTCAGTTTGGCTAATTCGGCCTTACAATTTGAAACAGACTTCAGATTTTCAATATTTCTTACTTTAGGGAATAATTCCACTCTTCTGTACACAGTACGGACTCAACAACAGCTCAGAGTCCATCAAGTTGAAAGTCAATGATTGATGAGTTGTCCAGTTCAATCAAACTTGGCATTACCACATTACAGGATGCTGATATGTTCGGCTACACGTGTAATATATGCAGCTTGGCCAAATATAGCGACTTCACAAACTGGCACTGCCAATTCCAAGACATCTAGTTATGTGGTCCAAAATTATGGCTTTATATTACAACAATCGTGCTTTGTTTGTACACAGTGAATAAAGAAAATTAAGATTATTGATCATACTTTATAAAAGTTATCTAATCAGTGTGTCAATAAGCAGTTTTAGATTATTACATAAAACAAAATTAGACAGGGTTTTTTTTTTTTTTCAGCCATCATTTACATGAATCTCTGGACACCGATCCTTTTAAAACGTAAGCAATTCACACAATCAGTGACACCAGTCTATACAAGCCTTGTGCATAAATTCTGTTTAGTTGGTATGAACAAACCAAAATCTGCGTCAAGGATTCACCTGTGGAGTCTTCTCCATTGAATAATACCCCACAGCTAAATCCTGGACGGATTAATTCATTTGGGCGTAAATTAAAAAGGAACTGGATTCGTTCGTGGCAGCAGAAGTGAATTTGTGCACAAGTTTAGTCTATACCATATGTTACCAAAATACAAAGCAAACTTAAATCATAATATATGAAAATATTCATCATTTATTGGAGTTATTACAACGGGCTTAAAATAGCAAAGAAAATAGTAGAATGCATTAATTTGCAGTGGTTTGCAAAATTCCCAAGAATAAAATAAAATGGCAGAAACAAAATAAACAAAAATCAACCAGTACCGCTAAGCTTTCTATGCTGAATAGCATTTGAAAGAGTTTAAAAGAAAGCCACTATTCCTTCATATTTAAAAAGTGTATATTTCCTGACGAAAGTTAAAATGTGTGCTGTGCAAAAATATGCAAAATTGGCACTTAATCAAAAGTGCATGATCTGTTTTATCTTCAGGATTACAGTATTAAAAGGACACTCTAGGCACCTTAACCACTTCATCTCATTGGAGTGGTTATGGTGCCCGGAGTCTCCTGGCGCTATCACACTGTTAGTGTTGAAACGGTTTGTAATGGTTTAACCCTACGTTAGTAGTGTTAATCTAGCAACTCTGCTGGTTGGGCTAATGCATCACCTCTCAGCCTAATCACTGCTTCTCTAGAATCAATTGGTACGGCTAATAATGGGTTACATTCCGCCTTAGCCGTACGTTTCAACGCGTGGGTTAGGGGCAGAGTCATGGACACCCAGTAACCATCAGTCAATGCTAAACCATTTTCAAGCCACTGGACAGCACCAAGGAACTCCAGGCAAAATAACCACTTTAGTGATAAGTGGTTATGGTGCTCAGTTAATTTGTTAATTCAATTTGTTGATTTGCCACTGATCTTTGAGATGCGCAAAGATAAGGCAAACTACAGATTGACTTAGAAAAAGTCTAAATAGAAATACTAAGCATGATTAAATCTGCAATTGGATTTCTCAATCTGCTAAACAAAATCCCTTTTTTATTTATAAAGCAGTAATTCTACAGTGCCAATGAATACTGCACACAACAGCTTTACACGATCTATGTTCTTAAATCCCACATTTTACAATTCATACAATTTCTCTTTTAACCCCTTAAGGACACATGACATGATTCCCCATTATTCCAGAAGTTTGGTCCTCAAGGGGTTAAGGAAATGGGACTGCAACACAGCTGGAAATGATTTTACTGAAACATATTAAAGATGAAAAGATACTAAAAAGGTAAATAACAGTTTTATTCACTAGACCATGAATTATGGCTGGCTGATGTGGAAAATTACTCAATTTTAAGCCACAAAATTTATCAACCGCTTGTCAGTTCAACACAAGTTCCAAGATTTGTGAATAAATCTAATCTTATCTTTTATGCACATCTGTTAAGATAACAAGTTGCATAAAACATATGGATAAACCTTGCATTGAAGAACACTTTCATATTCACATTGTGGATACGCTAGAAAAAAAAAAAAAAGAAAAAGAAAAAGTAAAAAAATGATACATATATATTTAATTAGAAGGGTTAAAGTGCATTTTGGGCAATAATTCACAATCGAAACCCTTAAATCACCCCTTCCAAAAGAAAAAAAAAAAAAATATAAATTTCATGATGAAAAAAAACAAAAAAAAACAAACAATGAATGGAACACAGTTTAAATCAGTTTTTCCCCCAGCATATCTGAATAGATCTTTCTTTTTTTTTTTTTTGAATGACAGAGAAAATTTATCTTTGCACTACAGGATTTCCCTTTATCACAGAAAAGGATGGGCCTTTTAAGTTATAAACAGTATTGCAGACCGATTGGCCGATGGAGTCAGGGCACCCCACCACTAGTGACTTAGATACAATACCACGTAACAAATCAAGTGAAAAAAAACAGCAAAACCATGTGGTCGCCAGCCAAAGTGTTAAAACTGACAAAATCAGGAAGAAGTAACTACTGATTAGGTCCTGCACAGAATATAAAAAAAAAAAAAAGCCAACCTACTGAAGTCTCTATGAAATCAGCCTAATGCAAACCAGAGCAGCTCAGTTATTCCATAAAAAGAAAATCAAAAAGTCAGCCATTCGGAATCAGGTTTGGGTTACTCTATAGATCTTCTGGCGAATACGGCCTTGTGAACCTGCATCCATGAATATCATTCTGGGATCAAAGCTGAATCTACAAGAGAAAGAAATGATTAGTTCATTGCCATAGAACATGACAGTTAAAGGGATATTCCGGATGGTTTTGATCAGTTAAATTTTAGTGCATTTAAAAAAAAATAAAAAAATAAGAATAATAATTAAAAAAAAAAAAGGAGATTCAAAATAAAGAAAAAAAAATAAAATCTTTCATTCTCTGAAAGGAAAATAAATAAAGCTGTACAGGATTTGCCATTAGCTCTCGCCAAACCAGGGACTGATATCTACTGTATCAACAGCACTGCCAAGCTTGTTACGCAGTGGTTTTTGCTCAAAGCAATAGTACAACTCTCAGAAGGTAAACATAGCAGGATGGAAGGAAGGGGCAAAATGGTGAGGTTATGGAGCAAAATATATAAAAAATATTTCATTAAAATTATAATATTTTTATTTCTTTAAAGATTACATATATTATAATATAATAAATACATTTAAATAATATATATAAATTTTCAAGAAAAGAATGGTTCTCGTTTAAAAAGATACAAATAACGAACATTTGCCATCTTTCTTCAATCTGTAGCAAACACTCCATATTAATGGAAGCTATATTTATTTTTAAGTAATGATTCAGTGTCTCCCTATTGAAGCTCACTGCACAATGCTGGCTCCTGCCCAGACTAACAGATAGAAAGTGAATCACCTCGGATCGAATACTCCTGGGGTGCGACACGATGGACCAGAACAAGACTGAAGCATCATCAGCCGCCGATTCATCTTCTCGAGGATCTCCTGATCTATGGTTTTAGCGATGTTGGTGAGCTGGTTGGGATCAGCTGTTAGATTGTACACTTCCACAAAGACCTGCATTTTAAAATGAAACTGTGTATTTACACATGCCTACAACTGGTACATTCCGATTGCAATAAATAATACTAATGTCCCGTATTATCATTAAAATACCTTTTAAACATATGGGCGTAGAATTATCAAGGGCAAAGTGCCTAATAAAAAGCAATAACCAAATAACCATGGAAACAAATAGAATGTCTCATCATCTAGCAACCAAAATAGCTCTGTCTTAATAAATCTCCCTCTGGTTGTGATTATCCTCCAACCACAACGGTTTGTAAAATGCCTACTGTCAGAACGGTGATTTCTTAAATTTTATCTTCAAAGTCCAAATGCAAGTACTCCTAAACAATCCGGGTCACTAATGGATTTTCGGCCGACAAATCTGACCAACCACGCATTTTACTACATCTTCTGACCAAATGCATTTGATTTCGTAAGGAGCTGCTCTGCTAGCTACAGATAGGGGGCATAGTGACTGCATGCAATAGACTATTGAGCTTTAACAGACTCACGTGGGCCTGTGAGATTACACAAAGTTGTTAAATATAGATCCGACTCAGTGTTGTGTAATGTGCTATATGTAATAGCATCTTTGGAACCACTATATCCTAAACTTAGCAGACCAAATAAAACATTTATAAATATCACTGTTTAAAGTAATACGTAATTAAAATATTCCATTACTGGTACTCCCATTATCGTTTACCTATGCAAACACATAGAATAGGAATAAACCAATGAAATTAGGTCTGCTATTAAAGGAACATGCCAAGAACCATAACCACTACAGCTCGCTGAGGTAGTTACACTGCCATCCCTGAATACGTAGTCAAACCATTTATTAAGCCAGATATCTCCCCTAAGCAAAGAACGTTCTGCGCCCAGCTGATGTTCTCCGTAAAACCAGTTCTACATGACCCTGTTGAGCTCACTGGAGCTAAAAGCTCCTGGCAGGAAAATCTGGAAGAAGAGCTGCAGCAGCTGGTGCCCAGATGGACCCAGGTAAACCGTTATTTACAGCAGCCTGTAGTGGTTATGGTGTTTGGAGTGTTCTTTTAAGATGCAAGGCTAACCATTGCCAAACACTGATTCTGGATGAGTAGTTACAGTCTTGCAGGGACATTTGTAGAAGACCTTTCAATCCTGCTACCAGTTTAGGGACACCATGGTTTCTTTAATTCTGCTGTTGGACAGACATTGTTACACATGCTTACCTCTGCATCATCAAACTCGCAATACTGCAAGTCATAGGCTGGCGCAATTGTCCTCACACAGGCATAGGTATTATTGTATGCATCTTCACAAACACAGTCTGGAAAACATTGCTGCGGAAACAAACACACAATTTGTACAATACCTCATAATAGAATTGTGCTGGAATTTCTCACTTCGTTTCTTTATTTTACATATCGCATGTTTTTGAACTTATTGAATGTTTTTGAACTAATGTTTAATTCGCGAGTTACACTGCAATGTTTATATGCTCTTCATTTCTCCTGTGTCCATGACTGGCATGACTACAAGAGCAGGTACACTCATGAAACCGTAGTGTGACTGCTGACAACAACACAAGGCCACCTGACTTACGAAAGCCCTCTCAACTGTCCATATGCCTCCCGGTGTGCAGCATGGTGCATAATCACGGCAAAGAGGGAAAACATTAACATTAAACATTAATTTATACCAAAAGCCTGCAAGAAGGACCCTTTAGCTACTTCACTCTCAAAGGGAATCTATAGTCTGGAAAATAATTTGTTTTTGGGAACCATAAAGTTCCCTTCGATTGCTGTGAAATCTGTCCAAGAGGACACTATAGCCAGCAAAACCCCTACAGCCCAATGTAGTGGTTCAGGAGTCTACAGGCTGTCCCTGCAGGCTTTTCAAGGTAAACCCTGCCTTTTCAGGGAAAAGGTAATGTTTACATTGGTGCCTAGGAACACCTCTAGTGGCAGTCACTCAGACAAGGTGATTCCTATTTGAGTACAATGTGTGTAGCACATTTTAGATGGTTAAAAGACAAGCACAGGCGCTCATGATAATGTACTGATAGTATAGGCTGCAGTAAATCAGCAAGGATTTCCAAACCTTGCATGGTGTACAAAGTGTAGAACAAACAGTGTGATCTAATGTGCCAGAAAACCACACAGGTACATTTTAAATGGTGAGTGCAGTGAAAGTAGTACTTTACATACAGTATACACACTGGAAAAATGAAAACAACTCAATATAATATGTAGGGTAAGCAGATACATACAGAAACACCAGGGCCCAGAGCAGGACAAGTTGGATCTGTAACATTAAGACTTTCCCCTTGATATTCAACCAAAATATCTGTTCTCCACGTCACGTTACTTGCACCGGTCTGAAATACAAAAACAAACACTAAGTCAGCTCACTCATGTTCTCACCCAGGCAAGACTGGACATCATAATACAGAATGATTGATTATTCCAGTACTGATCAAAATAGAACACTTGGAACCTGGCTTACATAATCCAAACATGCTGCTAATGACAAAGAGCGTAAATTCAAAAAAATGTTACAGGTAATGGGAGGCATGAAAACCCCACTTACCAATTAAAAAAACAAGACACCGGGCACAAGAACTACAAATACTAGAGAAATCGGAGCATTACTTTAAAAAACAAAACCTGAACGTCACAACACGCGCTCAAAAACAAAACACACCAACATTTATTAGGCATAAAAAGAAAAAAGGCAAACAGGAGACTCCTATGTTTAAGGACCCATAGGTACGAAATGCATTAGGAAGACCAGCTTACCCTTTTTAACCCAGTTTATCTTTTTTCTTTTTGTATCCAATAGACTTCAATGTGATTTTTGAGTTCTTGTTGTGGTGTTAGAAACATAGAATGTGACGGCAGATAAGAACCATTCGGCCCATTTAGTCTGCCCAGTGTTCGTTTTAAGTTTTTAATGCTCTTATTCCAGTACAACTCCAATGCTGCATGGTGGATCTCGAGTTGTAACAAAACTATGATTCCCACAATATATGGTCAGCCTCAGAGAAGTTGGAATTCTATCTTTTGGCTACTTTGAAGTCCACAATCAACAGGAAAATCAGAGCACAGTGTAAAACGGTCTTCTGTAAAGGGACACTACAGTCACCAAAACAACTTTAGCTTAATGAAGCAGTTTTGATGTATAAATCTGATGCCTCTGAGGTCTGTGTGCTTAATAAAGGAAGTAAACATTAGATGACTCTTTACAGGAAGTGTTTAGGAAGGCCGTGTGAGTCACATGCAAGGAGGTTTGACTAGGCTGCATAAACAAAGTGATTAAGTCCTAAATGGCAGAGAATTGAGCAGTGAGACTGCAGGAGCATGATCTATGCACCAAGACTGCTTCATTAAGCTAAAGTTGTATTGCTGACTATAGTGTCCCTTTAAAGAAACACTCCACTTCAAGCACCATAACCACTACAGTACTGCTGTATCGGTGTAATCTATCAGATTGTTTTAGCAAGACTTCACACTTACCTGGGTCCGGTAAGACGTCCAAGCTGCTTCCAATCTCTTTACGTAGGAGAAGGCAGATGCGACATAGCCATTCATTCACTGGCTGAGAATATCAGCTGAGCTTTCTCAGCCAATAAAAGAGTTGAATGAGTTCTCTTCTTGAACACACAGATAGCTGTCTCCTTCATTATGGCAAGAATGAAAGCAGTACTGACGCCCAGTGGGACTCAGGTACGTGTTAAACCATGCTGAACTAGGCAGTGTGCAGTACCTTTGGTGAGAGGAGTGCTCCTTTAGGTATCACAGTGGTCAGCTTATCACCCACACAAAACAAATTATTAGAATAACTCACTAAACCCCTATCCCTAGAAGACCCAGAGTCACAACTCATGATATAGAACAGTATATTTACGGCAACCTACCGTTGCCCCATACCGAGGCTACCTAACTTTTTGTACACAGCGAGCCGGCCCAGGCTTTCCCATAACTCTTAAAACTACTCACCTCAATGTACAATATACCAATAATACAGAGTCCCTGTTATCGTATACTTGAATCCAGTATGGTTCTTATTTGTATCTTTCTGGCAAATTACTGCTTCTCTCACAACAGAGAGGTGAGCAAAAATAAAGAATTTAAAAAGAATAACTCACTAATGAACTAGTGTTACATTTAAATGGTATACTTGCCAAAATTGGTAGAAAAGACATGCCATCCATCTGTGTTTTATTCAGGTTAAAGCCAGCGATATCCAGAATGGTTGGACCCAGATCAACGTTTGCAACAAGTGACTAGAGAGAAAGGGAGGAGAAATATAAAACCCAAGAAATATTTACAAGGTGAATTAAGAGACTTTTTAGAAATAATAAAAGTAAACCTTAGACAATAAAAACACCCCCAGAAAACATGCAGATTTATAGTTGTTCTTGTCTCTAAAATCGGTTCTTGGAAGGAAGTATATTAGGGGGAAAGAGTTGTTTAAATGCTGAGCCAAAATAAACTGGATTCCTAGCCTTATTTCATGTTCACAAAGCAAAAAAGTAGGAAGAAAAAAATAAATAAATAATAAAATCCCAAAATATACAACTGGTATAAAAACAAAAACTAAAATAAATGAATTAATGGTAGTGAGTATAAACGTGTACATGTCTAATTTTAAAAATGTTATGATATGTATAGTTTATGGATTCCATTAACAGGGTCACATTAAGCACCATAACCACTTCCTATTACAAAAGGTGCTTACGGTGCAAAAAAAATCAGCCTGTTGCCATTCCTTTTTCTAAAAAAAAAAAAAATTAATTCCCAGAGATAAAAGAACTTATTTTCCTGTATAGGGGAACAGAAAAACAAAAATAAAAAATTAAAATAAATAAAAACCACACAACACACACCACTCTATTGACAATTCATGTTCCATCAAAGTGAGTGCAAGACGTTGAATCCACCTGCTGGAATACAACTCTTGCCATGCTCAGATTCTGGCTGAGGCTGGTGGGAGTTAAAGTATTTACCCGATGTAGTGGGGTAGTGAGACAACCGCTTGCTAAAACCACCTTTGTGGAATATAACTCAACCTCAATCAATCAACCTCATCAAGTGAATGAGCAGGTCTGATGAACTTTAGTCCACCGTAGCTTTTTATACAGCAAGTCACCAGTTTAATGGATACATAAAACGTAATATTTAATAACAGCAATTGACTTATTTTGTTTTTTTATCCCTAAATTTCAATAAAACCACTCATCTGTATGAGACTAAAGATTTTTCAACAATGCCCAGCATTAAGAGGAAATTAAATTATTGTCAAAAATGATACATTATCTGCAGAGGCCAGTTCTGCATTTAGTGAAAGGTGTTTTTTCAAGGCTTAAATATTTGTGAAAATTATAGTAAATGCAGATTTCTTGCAATGATTAATTATTTACAATAGAAAAACATGCATTTTTGGACACAGAGACTCCCTTTAAAATACTAATGTACAAGATCGGAAACACAATTTGTTGCAGGGGTTAGTGCCAGAGAGTAGTCTGTGCTTACTCAGTTTTTTCACCTCAAATGAGAAAAAAAAAATAAATAAATCATAGGCAGTAAGTGAATTTGCATTAAATGCCTTGGGTGTGCCTTTTAAAAGGTAGTTATAATTTCGGGGTGGCTTCCCCCCCCCCTCCAATTTAAAGCTATACATTAAAGAAGACACAATCAGAGGTAGGTGATAACACGTTTTAGAAGCAGAATTAAAATGTAGAATGTAAGAAAAGCTCTTGAGTTCTGCAGATGAAAAGTGTAATGTGCAGATAATGACAGAAGGATTCTCCATTCTGGACTGAAGGGTTTGCATTGGTCGCAAGCAGGACTTTGCAAGCACCAGGTTATAAATTAAAAAAGGTCCTCATTTAGCTAGACTAAATGAGATGCACATTGGTCATTATTTCACCATCAGTTATAAACACAGCTTTTATTATGGAACTTATGAAGTATCATCTACGAGTAATCACGGACACAATTGTTTGCAGAATTGTCTTGTACAATAGAACAGGATTTTCTATGTGTCATTTAATTTTTATTTTTAGTAATGGTACAACATTACCAACAGTACAAAACCATGGGAGAAGGAATATAAATATAAAGAAAAAAAAAAAACAAAAAAAACAAAAAAAATAAAACACACACACACACACACACACACACACACACACACACACAGAGCCAATTGGGCAAATTGCAAACTAGAAGCAGTCATGCCAGTACAGGTGTTGGTGTCAGTGATTGCTTCAAAGTGTTGTCAGTTTCATACAGTTGGCTCACAATGTTACAAAGGAATAAACAAATCACAAGACGCTAACCAAGGCAGCGGTCTATAGAGACTTAATAAGCATGGTGTTAATAACCGCTAAATGCTACATAGCGCACAATAGTAGATCACGGAGAGCTTCTGTGTTTTACCTTGGATATCTGATTGGGTTTTATACTTGGTCCTCGAACAAGCAGTGGAACTCTGATATCAAACTCATACAGCTGACGCTTGTCTATTGGCAGTGAGAATTGCCCTGCAATACAAACAGAATGCATGATACAAAGGGTCCCTATTCAAACTTTTCTACTGAATTACCATATAAAAAGAAAATAAAGGATTTTTGATTTTCCATTACCAAAAGAGAAATGAATAATAAAAACTCCATGCAGTAACAGTTGCAAGGTTATTCACTACAGTGAGATTTCAAAGTGAATTTCAGCTTTAAGGTCACGATAGGCAAACTTGAAAAATTCTCCAAGTTGGCTAAGCTTTCAATTTGGCTACTCTGGCCTTAAAACGCTGTAGCATTAGGAATACAGTAATTTTTTTCCCAACGCTACAATGTTCCTTTAAATTTTAAATTCAACTTTAATTCACTTTAAATTCTCACTTTCATAAATTACCCTGCTGGATACACAGTAGTATTAACCTATATTCACACGCGAAGTGATTTTTACCAGCAGATGTGTTTTTATGGGGGGATTCCCAAGAGGAGCTCCTTTGCATTCCAAAAGTTAGGCAAGAACCCCATACTATACACAACACGCTCTGTGCAGATCACGTCTTTATGTCACTGTAAAAAATTGCCATTGGCAGAATGGGAATGCTTCATTGTAAATAGAACCAGTTATGGTACCTCTGCTATCAGTTCAGCCAGAAGTCCAATGTGATTAATGGAACTACTACCAAGGGCTGAACTGAAAGTCCCATAACCCCCATCTATGTATAAAGGATGGCTAAAAATGAAGGGAGCGTCAAGATTGTTTGAACCATTGATAACAGCTTAGGGCAGAAAATGCAAAGTAGGGGCTTGCAGAAAATACACACACATATACATACATCCATCAGTTTTTTTATATTAAAAGAAACAAACAAAACAAAAAACAAAAAAACTTGTTGATCACTATTGATCTCCACTACTCTAACACCCAAACAGGCTAAAGGAACGCTACTAGATGGCATATACCGCATCCCAGGGTGCCTTACAAACAAATCCTCTGGATCAAGAGATTTCATAGTATGTTTTCGGTCACAAACTGACAAGGACTTATTTATCACCATTAATTTTTTAACAGCACTCACTGTGCTTCTTTCAAGATCTCAGCAGGTCCACACTGCAGTGGCGTGCAACATTGAAGGAGATGACCTCTCAACTGTGAACAGCAGGAATTCAATACAGGTGGGGGACCCCACGGGTGCTTGTGGCAGAGAGAAATGGCAAAAGGCACAGACTCTCCTCAGTGTCCAATGCCGACAGCTTCCTGCAATCTCTAGGTCTGGCTGCTAACACTACTTCCATGCCGAACAGACCTACACACAAGTGGGACGTTGACAACGTAGCAGCCTTTACACCTGCAAGTTCAATGGCCCCAGGATGAGGCGACTAACGGAATGACCTCCCTATGTTAACCTTTAGCTTACCATTAAATTTGTTTTATGTAATATTGAACCGCTGCACTTTGTTTTACGGTTTTTGTCCTCCCCTTGATACATCCTTCGGGAGCCTCAGACCTTTATGGGTCATTAACATCTTAACGTAATGTGACATTACTCGAAGTCGCTCCCCAAACGCAACCCCCCTCCCCCCTTAAGTTCCGTGGTTATGGAGCTTACTTAATTCTCCATTGGGCTTATCTGCGCTCCCGATGAAAATGAATACAACACAGCCCAATAATGCTGGTTGGTAATTGCGACATACTATACTCTCCTGCAATAGGGATTCTGGAAGTCAATGTCCATTATTACGCAGACCTCCAGAGGCGCTCATAGTGCTTGTGAATTAGAGCAAAATGTGCCTCTACGAAGCGGACACTACATCTTAGTTTGAATTACGGTTATTGATCTTATCTTCAATCGATGAGATTTTATATAGATCAGGGGCAGAGCCAGCACTAGTCAAACACAGCCCTGGCCAATTAGCATCTCCTCATAGAGATGCATTGAATCAATGCATCTCTATGAGGAAAGTTCAGTGTTTCCTTGCAGAGGGCGGAGACACTGACTGTCAGTCACATTAAGCAGCACTGCCCCAGGAAGCACCTCTAGCAACCATCTGAGGAGTGGCCAGTGGAGTTACACTGCCTTCTCTCTGAAAAGACAGTGCACAAAGTCTGAAGGGAATGATTATACTCACCAGAATGAATTGCAATAAGCTGTAGTTGTTCTAGTGACTATAGTGTCCCTTCAATTGCCATCTAGTAAATTAACCCTAAAATATTTAACTGTTAGGGAATATGAAATTGGTTAAATTCCTACCTGTATGATATCCATTGTCTGACGTGAAGAATATATATGTATTATTCAGCTCATCACGAGTCTCAAGCTCCTTCAAGAGTTTCTCTACAAGGTCATCAACAGAGAGAAGGGTCTGCCATCTATATCGGATGTCATAAGAATGATGTTTGAAGGGGGAAGAAGAAAAAAAACATGCAATCTTTAATGCCGACCATGAGCCTTTAGCTTTATTAATTCTATGATCAGTAGTCAAAACGGTCTGAAGTGCTTTTATCTACCTATGAACATTTATCTTCATAGGGGAAAACTTAATAAGCAAATCTTCCATCAGTTTTTTTGTAGTTTTTTTTTTTTTTTTAAATATTCATGATGGGTCTTTACAAGGTGTCCCCTGTGCCCGGAATGTCCTCTGCTTATATCAAACAGTTCTGTCAATTAGAAACTCCCCATTGCCATATAACCAAACATGATGAAACCCTATTGCACACTGAGCATGGAACACAGCCACATTCACGTGAAGTCCTACCTTTTCCGAAATGCATTATCTAAGAATTGAACAGATGTGTTGGACATTGGTGTCTTGGCCTGTCTGATTAACCAATGCTTGTCCTGAAACAAACAGAATACAATCATGACAAGCATAGAAACACTGTTGTGTTTATAAGTATATTTTATGTTATGGTTGTCCCAAAGTCATTATAAGGAAAATTACAGAGCCGTACAATGCACAGAGCACTAGATACGAAATACAATGTACATTTGACAGACGGTGAGAACGACCTAGGAAGAAGATGATACTTGTTGACAAATCCCAGTCAATCCAATCATTTTCAATGGGGGTGATGAGCATATCTTAAAATATCTGCTCAGCATTGCTTCATAAGATATGTATCTCAGAAATTGGCTCCATCAGTTTCAAAATATTAATGGAACTGCTGTACAGATTGATAACATTCACATGGAGACTGTCATCTTAGTGAGATATATATATGAATAAAGCTACTGACACAAGCATTGCTAATGATCATTCACAATAAGCTGCGAAGGAACTGCTAAAAGAAGTGGGGACTTGTAGATTATTATTGGGCAGACTAGATGGGCCGAATGGTTCTTATCTGCCGTCACATTCTATGTTTCTATGATTATGTGGGTGCCTACCACGCACATGCCTAGTACGTGGACTGGCTTGGGGAAACATGGGACATACGGAGGTGGTGGGCTTACAGCCACAGCGAGTTTTCACAAATTAAAGCATTTATACGTAACTAGTACAACGGGACAAAATGACCTCTCACAACATAAGCTATACAAGTATCATGTGCTTGAAGGGTTCGATAAATATAGTCACATTACCTTGCCGTGTACATTGAAATTGCTGGTCCTGGGAGCGCTGACATTAAGGAACTCTTTCTCATACTGGGGAGCCGCTGTCCACGGGGAGTGCGGGGCTGGTGTGGAAACCATCATGAAAAAAGGCTCATAATTTGATTTGTAATTCAAGAAGTCCAAAGAAACATTGGCCTGTCGATTAAAGATGAAATGCATCAGAGCCAACATACTATGTAATAACTAGGCAAAGTGATAACAAGGCCCCTATTGGCTTGCTAGAAGCTTTATTGATTTTAAAAAAAGTTGGAGGTTGTTTAAGACTTGTTTGCACAGTAGAAGATAATGTTTGCATATCAGAAGGATGATATCACAGGAGGAACATATTTCTGCTAACCTTGCACAACGTGTCACCAGATGGTGAACAAGTATTAACTAGATGAGGGGCAGTTACATAGTCATATAGGCTCAAGTTCAGTCCCTCACACATCTGTTTTAGATGTTGATCCAAAGGAAAGTAAAAAACCCAGTTTAAATGCATTCCGGTTTAGAACAAACGAAGAAAGAAATAGTTCTCAACCCCAGAGTGGCAGTCCGAGGTCTCCTTCGACCAAGAAGCTTCCACTGCTAGTTGGTGCTCTATAACCAATGCATAGGTGGTCATAGGACACATACGTTTTGTAAGGAGACTTGCAGGACTTAAATGTGTTCACAGTAAAATTACACACAAGGGACATCTGTCACAATTAAATAGGTGTTTTTCTGCAGATGAAAAGAGATTGAGAGCATGGGCATTGTTGGAGATGCCCCTTTAGTGAAAACTCAGTGTGTAGAACAGGTATTTTGCTTTTATTTTGTGATCTAAATGAAACAATATTTTTCTTACCAGGACATCCGTCAAGTAATCCAGGCTATAGTTTCCCCCGTGATGTTGAGCTTTGCCATTCTTTGACAGAGTGTAGTTATAATACTTTGAATTTTTCTCCTATGAAAATAATAAATTGCATTTTAAAAAATAATTTCAGATTTTTTTTGCATGATACCATATGGACATTCTAGTGTAAAGTGTGCAAGATGGCCATCACGGACACGGAAAATGGCATGGCTAGCAAGGCAAAAAGGCTGTCTCACTAGCTCATTATTTATGAATATTATGTTTCATGCAAACTAGTCCCTACATTTTTTAAAGGGCCATTAACACTATAGCCCATTGTAGTGGTTATGGTGCGGTCACTCAGTTTGACAAAACCTCAGGCTCTTACCAACAACCATATTCTGTCTCTCCCTCAGTAGCAATGATAATAAATGTATTTTCCACATTATTAATTGTGATTCTGTCCAACCAGGACATCAATGACAGCTCAATGCTCTCAGTTTCTAAGCCATGCTTTGGCTGGATTCATACTTGGTAATATGGAAGTGCAGTTTCACTGTAGGGACTCCTATGGGTTATGGGTGACTGGGAGATATCCAATTCTGTCAACTAATGTGTAAATAACCAGGGGAACAGTTCCCATAAATGGATTGCGCCATAACCTCTACAATAAGCTGAAGTAGTTATGGTGTTTAGAATATTCATTTACAGGAAACCAGCCAGCTGACACCCTCAGCCACTCACAGCCACCAATTGCTGCTAAAATTTCTTCATTAGCTATAGCAGCACAGAGGGTACGGGCTGCTGGGGACTGGACACCAAACGCTATAAACACTGCAATGAGATGAAGCCGTTACAGTGCCTACAGTGTCCCTTTAAGTGCAGCATGGCCAAACATTTGCAGTTCTCTTGAATATCTTTCACAACTGAAATAACCCCCATTACAATAAGTTGCTAAGAAATAATAAAGCTATTAAATGTGTGATTCAAAAAAATTTTAAAAAATCCAAATCTGCAATAATACTTTTAATAAATAAAAACGTTTACCAAACTAATTTTACCCATTATGTAGGAAACAGTTAAACCTTGAAATCTGCCCTTTTACGATGCAAAGCCTAATACAATAAGACGTTTTTAAATGATGTCATCGTGCAATGGGACTTTAGCAGTACACCTGATTCAGGACTTCACGTACACGTTTATAGGAACACTTGCTAGATGTTAACGTAATGACATTCCATCTGTTTAGCTATCTGTTAAACAAATACCTCCAAGGTTACATTGCGACAGCTGCGTATTTCCAGATCACTAAAATGTTTGGCTTGGACCTAAAGTGGACTTTAATTAGATTTTGTTGCCAAGTGTTTGAGAAAAGGTGGGCCTGGGGGAAGAGGGGGGGGGGCTGGGTAATACATCGTAACAGGGATCCATTATGAAAAATAAACATTTACCGGTAATATTTTTTTAATTTAAGTTTTAATGGTTCTAGCCCTTTAGTTTAAAAGATATATTTTTTAAATTGCTTCAACAGCAATAATGACATCAATGGAACTATTTTCAGAGGGTGATGGTCAGTGTTCCTTCTGTAAGCAGTGCATATCAGACTGCTGACAGTGTACCAAGCAGATACACAGAGCAGTTACCACTGCAGCTTGTGAAATGCTCAGAAAAAAAAAAAAAAAACAATAGCTCACTATGTAGAGACTAATTATATAAGTTTCATAGCAACTACATTAACACTTACCTTCGGTACACTAATCTTTACCTACCAAAGTTTGGATTACTTGTACAATTTTACATGCATAGTATCACTATCAAGTTTTTCAACCAGAGTTTTGGGAATACACCAGGAAATTGTAAATTTAAGACCAAAACGATTAAAATGGAAACATAGCTAATTAATAGAATTTTTCCAATTCAGCCATTTTGTGCTAAATTTGAAAGTCCTGTATGAATATTTTACAATTTAGTGAATAATTCTGCATGTGTTTTTTTTTATTTTTATTATTTTGTCTTCATATTTAAAGAGATCTGCCCAGATTTTGTCTTTTTGGAATATATTTTTTATGTCCATTTAAAAATGCTCACAGTAAAACTAACATCAGAACTCTACAGCACATAAAAAATAAAAAAAATAAAAAAATAAATTTAAAAAAAAAGTAATATTAGTGAATAAACACTATTATTAATGAAGTTCAAAACCTTCTCATTCATTAAAGGGACACTCCCCTGCTAAAATGAAAATAAATAAAATCACTGTTTAGTATATATTCCCCATATGAAAACATACATACATTTAAATTATGCATTGTTTTCATTTGGGCATATCTAAAACCAGTATGCAAAAGGTATATATCTGTTGTCTGCTGCATTTGCAAGCCCTCCCCTTCTTCCCCAGCCCAGACTTTCTGTTCCCGTCCAATCGCAGGCGACACACTTTTCACACTTAAAGCAGTTCAGCAAGCTAGAGTGCTTTAGGGAAAAACAAATACTTAAATAGAAATGGTGCAGAGTGTCATGACTTGTGTACTTCAATCCTTAAATAAATCATATATCACTCCATATATAAAAAATTAAACAAAAAAGTGTAATCGTGACAATACGATGTGTAAAGTGTTTTAGGGGTCCAGAGTGTCCCTTTAAGATAGGAATAATGCAAACTTGACGGGGGGGGGTTAAACAACCATAAGATGTAAAGCTGTATGTTTATGACTATACTAAAAAAAAAAAAAAATTAAATAAATAAAAAACACAAAAAAACAATTATTTTGGAAATTTTCCATTCAACAGTCCAAAAGCTTTTCTTTTTACAAAGGATTTGCACCATGATTCTGTGGCCTAATGGCTAGAACAACATTGCACAAACTGGTCTGGAAAATCTACTTACCAGCGCATACCAATAACTCCAGCCTGGGGGCACATGAGCGATCCCTCCGGCATCTTCGGCTCCATACTAGATAAAACAGGAAACACAAAATGGATTCATACACAGCACATAAATGCTCACTATCTACGAACACACTACAAACCTCACAACCTGGAATTAACATGGATTGTTTGAGGATTTGCATAATTTAATTTACAGAACATGCCCACAACTTTGAAGATTTTTTTTTTATTGTGAAGCAAACAACAAATAGGACAAAATAACAGAAAAGGTCAATGTGCATAACTATTCACCCCCCTAAAGTCAATACTTTGTAGAGCCCCCTTTTGCGGCAATCACAGCTCCAAGTCGCTTTGGATAAGTCTCTATGAGCTTGCTACATCTAACCACTGGGATTTTTGCCCATTCCTCCGTGCATTCCTCCTGCTCCAGCTCCTTCAATTTGGATGGTTTGCACATGTGAACAGCAATCTAAATCTGACCGCAGATTTTCTATTGGATTGAGGTCTGGGCTTTGACGAGGCCATTCCAACACATTTACAGGTTTCCCCTTAAACCACTCAAGTGTTGCTTTAGCAGTGTGTTTGGGGTCATTGTCCTGCTGGAAGGTGAACCTCCGTCCTAGCCTCAAATCATGCACAGAGTGGTACAGGTTTTGCTATCCCTATATTTAGCACCATCCATCTTTCCCTCAACTCTGACCCCTCACTGGAGACATCCAGCGTCATTATACATGCTTTACTATGGGGGGAAACACTAATGCGAGTGCAGCAATTGCCGCACATTCATATTAGGTCTTTACCGCCGGCTGACAGGAGCGGGGAAAAAGCAGAGGCAGAGCCTGGACCAGCGCTGGGCTCTGGTAAGTGATAAAAGGTTATTTATTTATTTTTTAAAGCACTTCAGCACCATGACGGTGGTTATGATGGATGGCAGCACTATAGCAGGAAAACAACTTTATTTTCCTGGCGCTATACTTTCCCTTTAACTAGATCACATGAATAGCTATTCACTAAAAGGTTTAACAAATTATCATAATTTTTCCCACAAACGTAAAATTAACTGAACAATATGCATAAGTATCATGCATAAAAGCATTTAAGTGTGTACGTTAAAAAGATAAATGCTTTTCACCATATACATAGAAAATGTAATTGATATTGGTGGTTTTATACATAACAAATAAGATGGCAAAGTTTGGGGAGCATCCCTCTTGCTTATAATGCTCATGTCATGTTTCTGTGTCCATATAAAACGCGTACCTGATTTAAATATTTCCCGGCAAAGAATGTCTGGTAGCCAATGGAGTTGAGCAGTGCAGGGAAGGTATACGGCTCCTGAGTCTTCTGCCAGGCTTTGCTGCTACAGTTTCCCTCTATGGTGTTATTTATCACATGGTGATTGTGCGGGTACTTGCCAGTCAGGATGCTAGATCTACTGGGACAACACAAGGCACTGGCAACAAACTGTAAATGAGAAAAGATTTTATAAGCAGTTAAACAAGCCACGTGAGTATTCAAAGAACATGAAACTTTATATTAAACAAAAATATCACTAAATAAACACTGTCTCTTTAATTCACGTTTCCCTGTACACATAGGACATCAGCTTGATGCTGTATTACGGCACATGAGAAGTGCTGCTTTGTAATATGTAAAATTCTAATGCTGCAGGAGGGAAACCAAGCACTGCGTTAAATATGGATTCCAAACCAACTGCAGTGATTAGCTAAATTACTAAGAAGCACCGGCTAAAAGATGGGAGAAAGGGTCCATCGCTTTGATTAATAAAACGTTCTTCTTGCAGCATTAGTTTCACATTTTATAGAGAAACAACCCCCAGTAGTATGAAGAAGAAAAAAAGAAATATTCTGGAAAACATGGAGAATGCTAAATGTTTTTTTTCTAAAACTTGCAGGATGCTTAAAAGGTGCACTTTAAGCACCATAACCACAAACACATAACGGAGGTTTATAGATGCTGAGAGATATATATATATATATATTTTTTTTTATTTTTTTTTGCACCATTAGTCTATCCCTTCCGCAGATGCATTTACATTTGGAAATTACAACTGCACATATCTGTCCAACCTTGTGTGACAATCATAGGCTGAGAGCAGTAGTTATGGTGCTGTTTGTGTCACTTCAAGTGACAATAACCATTACTGGTCTGATCTGAGTGATCATACTACAGTAAAATATGAACATACTGAACTTACATTCAGTTTCAGAAACAAACAATTTTTTGCCTTTAGAACTGCTAAAAATAAAATAAAAATAAAAACGTAAGGAAAGTAAACAAGTGAAGCCCTATAAGTAAGCAGTAATAAAAAGGTGTTTATTGTGTATAATGGAATGTAAAGTATTCTTACTATACTTTCTTTATTGGCTGGAAAGCACTTACTGCATTACTGAAGGTTATACCATGGTCTGCAATCAGCGCCTTGGTCTTCTTTAATGGAGTCTGCAAAAAGAAAGGCAAAAAAAAAATTAATAATAAAAAAAAATAATTTTTTTTTTAAATGTGATGGACGCACGGATGTGTTACTCAGAGAACCTTCTAGATTGTATTGTCATGAAGCGGAAAGAAATGCAGGGGCTCTGCAAACAGACGATTACTCACCAGCAAACTATGTGAACTCTGAGATACACAGACCATGGGGTTTATTTACTAAACTGTGAGTCAAAGTGAACTTGTGAAAAATTAGACAAAAATAGCAGATATGGAGGTTCTCCAAGGCTGTTACAGTCACAGTTTGATTATTTTAGTAGACATTTTGCACTATGGTTTGCAGCTGACCACAATTCACCGTTTAATGACAAAGTCTTCTCAATAAGCTTGTTTGAGCAGGGTCCTCTTCAACCTATTATTCCTGCAACATTTTGTAATTGTCTTATTTTATTGTTAAATCTCCCCCTCTTATAATATTGTAAAGCGCTACGGAATCTGTTGGCGCCATAGAATTGGCGATAATAATAATAATAATAAAAAATGGGAGATATTGTCACGCTTTGAAGGTAGCGTGAATTAGGGAATTAACATAATTTACACAGAAAGTATAAGGCATTTAACAAGATGTATTGTAATTGTTATTTTATGTGTCTATTCAGCAGTGATAGAACTGAGGACATTATGTATTATTTACTAAAGTTAGAATTCAAAGTGAAATTCAAATTTAAGGCCGCAGCAGTTAAACTGAAAGCGTAGCTGACTCATTTCAGTAAATAACTCTGTGAGAGCTGTGGTGAAATGAGGAGGAATTGAAAATTTTAGGCCAAAAAAAAAAAAAAAAGGCTAAATTTACTGTTAGAAAAATAAAATAAATACAAACTCAGCTATGTTTCCGGATTAGCTATTTTAGGCTACAAACAAATTCTTCATTTCCCAGTCCAATAAATAAACTTCATGGATTGAATGGAAAATGTCATATACGTTTCGCTTTGCAAATATCCGCTAAAATATTACCAGTTAGAAAAAAAAAGGGTACAAATCATTGGGGTTTACAGATTAATTTTTTCTTAATTCTTTGCCTTAGCATACCTTTCACTACTTGCATTGGTATTCACCAACGTGTGAACGGTCATAAATTCAAAGGGGGATTTTTTCAGCATTGGATTGGCTGAGATAGTCAATTCTAATAATTTCAGCCAGGAAAGTGAAGTGGGGGAGAACCAGCACCAGCGTACCTGTGTGGCGCTGAAATAAAGGTGAGGATTTTTTTTTTATTTTTTTTTATTATTATTTAACAGGGCAAAATGGGTATTTAACACTTTGTATTTCTGACACTATAGTGTTCCTTCAAGGAACACCAGATAAATATTTCTGGCTTGTGCCAAAACCAGTACTGTACCTGCAGATTTAGGACACTTTGTTACTATGCATCCATTTTGTCTTTTTCCCCAATTCTACACAACCAGGGTTATTTACTAAAGTGAGAACTGCAAAAATTCTCAAAGTCACCTATGGTTCCAGTTCGGGTGCTTTGGCCTTAAATTTAAAAATTCACTTTGAATCCTGACAATTCTCACTTAAGTGGAATAACCCTGACCAAGCACAGCGTGCCGTGGCATAACGTAAAGAAGTATATGAACTTTTTATTGTCTTCCCTTACTTCTGATCAATATGTCCTGCACTAAACAGGAACAGTACAATAAATTGTAATTAGATTGCCTGCAGCAGGTACGATATATCTCCTGCATTAATCTCCAAATTAATGTTGTTCTTTTATCCTGGATACATTGGCAGCATAGAGAAACTCACATTTACAGTAAAGTCTAAGTAAACTTCTGCATTTTTATTGTGGGTAGCACACTGCAGATGTTCGCGCATGGCTCGTTAGGACACTGCATCGACTGGCATGTTCCAATCACGTAGAAGACTGTCTCAGCAAACTTGGTATATACACGATAGCTGGGCACTGAGGAAACGCTGAGGCCATCATGATTATTAAAGAATATATTTCTGTAGGTCAAAATAGCTTAACTAGAAACACAGCTGACCGAGGTTTTAAATTTTCCCTTAAATTGGCTATTTTTGGCCTAAAATCTGAAAGTGACTTTGTATTCCCAACAATTCAAGTTTTAGGTAATATCCGTTTGCGTCACTTTTAGGTTAATGTCTTACAGTTCTTTTTCCCCCCCCACGCACTTTATACATTAGTACAGATTTTCCACAACAATATAGTTTGTCTGTATTCTTGCATATGGCTTACCCGGCTCAGATTTAACTTTTGCACAGTTATTTATTAAAAGGCAATTTATTCAGGGAAAAATGACATATGGCTCTAAAATAATACATTTTAATAATAAAATATCAGTAATGTAGAAATAAGGCAGCTGTGTTTGGACTAATATGAGGAGTTACATGATCTGGTCTAGTATTCTGCAAATCAGCAGCACAATCCAAGCCTGCACATTTCCCATAATGCTCAGCAGAGCATCAAGGGAAATGTAGTTTTCAGACCATGCGCTATAAACAAGGAAGAGATCTGATCACGTGATAAACCCTGGCATTTTAAACTAAGCAACAGAACAAACCAGGTAGGGATATTATTAGTTAAAGCACATGGTGTTGCTTGATAAAACAAAAATAAAATGCACAGTCCAGATAATGAAAGGACAGGAACACAAATAAACAGAAGTGTAATAAACTGATACATGTGCTCTGCCCCACACCCTCTGCCCTCTGTGCAACATATTATACCAGATACAAAATATCTCCTAAACTAGTTACCATGCCACCTAGGGAGACATCCTGATCATCTGTCAGAATCAGCACGATGTTAGGCTTCCGAGCTGCCCCCTCCACTCTGCCCAGTGGGCACACCGACAGCAGCAGCAAGCAGGTCCATAAGGTGAGACATGGTGGGGGAGACATGGTGGGCTGCTCAGGAATCCTGCCTTTGCCTTATTCCATTGCCTGGAGTACTGTGATACTTGCAGAATCTCCTGGTAATGAGGAAGTTAAATGTTGCTGGTCAGCTGTTCTCTTACAGAACAGTCACATGTTTGGGGAAAACAGGAAGGGAGGAGAGAAGAAAAGGGGAACAGGAAAAACCAGAGCAGAGGCAGAAGCAGTGGGCGGGTCATCTTGATACAATGTATTGTGTGTGGAATGTTTGGTGAGCGCAGAGTTCTGCTGTGCCCACCTGCTCTGGATTGACTACCATCACCCCGTGCCAACATCAGTGCAGAGCATGTTAGGTACACCGGTAAAAACACATGGGGGTTAACTCACTGCATACCTAATGGTAGTAACATGAAATCCAAATCGCAGTCTTTGAGCAAAAATAGTTAATCTGGAATAATTCAGCAACTCAACTGAAGGCACAATTTAGCTGTTTTAGTTTTTTTGTTTTGTTTTTTTTTTACCATTCAGATTGTGATTTGTGTATTTAGATCTGAAAAAAATAAAATGATCGGGTTTTAGACCAAAGTTTGTTTGCTTAAAGGGACACTCCAGGCACCCAAACCACTTCTGCCAGTTGGAATGGTGTGGGTGCCAACTCCCACTACTCTTAACCCTGCAAGTGTAATTATTGCAGTTTTTTATAAACTGCAATAATTACCTTGCAGGGTTAACTCCACCTCTAGTGGCTGTCTACTAGACAGCCACTAGAGGGCACTTCCTGGTTTCTAGTACAGGAAACCTGTGCTAGAGCGTCGCTGGACGTCCTCATGCTACGTGAGGATCTCCAGCGTCGCTCATTTCCCCATAGGAAAGCATTGAAATGCGTTTTCAATGCTTTCCTATAGGGAGCGCTACTGCGCATGCGTGGCATTGCACATTAGGTGTCTCCAGCCGGTGGGCGGGATCAGTCTCGCCCACCGGCCGACGCAATCAGAGGGAGGAGCGGCGCGGAGGAAGAAGCAGCGACGTGGGACATCGTCGCTGCCTCAGGTAAGTTACTGAAGGAGTTTTCACCCCTTCAGCAACCGGGTATTGGGGGGTGAGAGGGAGAGGGGACCTGCAGTGCCAGGAAAACGGATTGTTTTCCTGGCACTGGAGTTTCCCTTTAAAGGGACACTATAGTCAACAGAACAATTCCACCTTAATGTAGTTTTTCTGGTGTCTATAGTCAGTCCCCTCAGGATTTTCAATGTGAATAGGCAGTGTTTACATTACATTTACGTTAACATTACTGCCTAGTATCACCTCTAGTGTCAGTCTGTCAGATGGCCACTAGATCTGCTTCCTGTGTCACTTCTGCACGGTGTCTTCATAGAAATGAATTCATTCGGTGCATCACTATGAGGAGATGCTGAGTGGTGCAGCGTTTTTGCTGCACATGCACAATCGCATCCCAACGCATTCCTGTAGGAAAGCATTGGATTGGCTGAGATTGTCAAGTTTGATGATCTCAGCCACAGAGGCGGGGCTAGCCGCAATGAGACCATTATGTGCCTGGAAAAAAGGTGAGTAAAATCACATCTTCAAAAGGAGGCAAGGGGAGCCAGTCACATAAACAGTTATTTTACCACTATAGTGTCAGGAATTCAAGTTTGCCATCCTGACACTATAGTGTTCTATTAATTTACAAAATGTCAAACTTAGTTACCCTGCAACTCTCAAAATAAATAACTATGAATTGTGTAGCTTACTTCTGACTAGAAAGGTAACATGCTTTGGCTTAGTAAATTTACTTATTAAGTAATTGCAGACATATACCTCTAACAGCATAACATTAAAAAAATACCATTACAGCCACATGCATGTCCACAAATATTGGGAAAATAGTTTCCATTATTGTGTCCTCTGTCAAAAAAAAAGAAGGAAAATTAGAAAAGGCGGGATTAGTGTCTACTGTGCCAATTTATTCTATTGTTATCCTCCAAATATTCCTTATTGTGCCTTTGCCATCCATTTTATTTTCCCATTACTTTTGGCAAAAAGAGCAATGACAAGTAGTGTGAAAACTAATTTTGGAGTGATGCAGAAAAAAAGGCACTTGTGTGTAAAGGTAGAAAGCAGTTGCAGTTTTGTATAAATTAAAATAAATGCAGGGCTGTCTCTCGGCATGGGCACGCTGGGCAGTAGAGTCAGTGCAGGTGGAAAAATTATGTGAACCCCTAGACTAATGACATCTCCAAGCGCTAATTGGAGTGAGATGTCAGCCAACTGGAGTCCAATCAATTAGATGAGATTGGAGGTGTTGGTTACAGCTGCCCTGCCCTATAAAAACACACACCAGTTCAGAGTTTGCTTTTCACAAGAAGCATTGCCTGATGTGAATGATGCCTCGCACAAAAGAGCTCTCAGAAGACCTACAATTAAGAATTGCATAAAACTGGAAAGGGTTATAAAAGTATCTCCAAAAGCCTTGCTGTTCATCAGTCCACGGTAAGACAAATTGTCTATAAATGGAGAAAGTTCAGCACTGCTGCTACTCTCCCTAGGAGTGGCCGTCCTGTAAAGATGACTGCAAGAGCACAGTGCAGACCACTCAATGAGGTGAAGAAGAATCCTAAAGTGTCAGCTAAAGACTTACAAAAGTCACTGGCAAATGCTAACATCCCTGTTAGCAAATCTACAATACGTAAAACACTAAAAAAAATGGATTTCATGGGAGGATACCACAGAGGAAGCCACTGCTGTCCAAACGAAACATTGCTGCACGTTTACAGCTTGCACAAGAGCACCTGGATGTTCCACAGCAGTACTTGCTAAATATTTTGTGGACAGATGTAACCAAAGTTGAGTTGTTTGGAAGAAACACACAACACTATGTGTGGCGAAAAAAAGGCACAGCACACCAACATCAAAACCTCATCCCAACTGTGAAGTATGGTGGTGGGGGCATCATGGTTTGGGGCTGCTTTGCTGCGTCAGGGCCTGGACGGATTGCTATCATTGAAGGAAAAATGAATTCCCAAGTTTATCAAGACATTTTGCAGGAGAACTTAAGGCCATCTGTCTACCAGCTGAAGCTCAACAGAAGATGGATGTTGCAACAGGACAATGACCCAAAGCATAGAAGTAAATCAACAACAGAATGGCATAAACAGAAGAAAACGCCTTCTGAAGTGGCCCAGTCAGAGTCCTGACCTCAACCCGATTGAGATGCTGTGGCATGACCTCAAGAAAGCGATTCACACCAGACATCTCAAGAATATTGCTGAACTGAAACAGTTCTGTAAAGAGGAATGGTCAAGAATTACTCCTGACCGTTGTGCACGTCTGATCTGCAACTACAGGAAACGTTTGGTTGAAGTTATTGCTGCCAAAGGAGGTTCACCCAGTTATTAAATCCAAGGGTTCACATACTTTTTCCACCTACACTGTGAATGTTTACATAGTGTGTTCAATAAAAACATGGCAACATTTCATTCTTTGTGTGTTATTAGTTTAAGCAGACTGTGATTGTCTATTGTTGTGACTTAGATGATGATCAGATCACATTTTATGACCAATTTGTGCAGAAATCCATATCATTCCAACGGGGTCACATACTTTTTCTTGCAACTGTATGTTCTTTTTTTTATGTAAAAAAAAAAAAAAACTGGCAAATTTAGAAATTTTGGTCTATGCAAAACAAGAAAGTGACAATAACAAAACAGGAAAAAAATGTTTGCCTATGATGGCTTTTCATCAACAGTATTATAACTCTCTGGTGCCCTAGGGAGCTACTCACCATGTCACATGGGAAAAGAGGTCTTGTGATACTTGACAAACTGTACAAAACATTTTTGCTGCAGCACATGGTACTTTGTGCAGTTTTCTCCTCAAGTAAGATCTCTCAAAATTAAGACGATAATAACATATTTGTTTAAAAAAAAACCAAAAAAAACAGTTGCTACTTTGGGTATTTGATGATAAATGATTGTTGAATCAATTTAAAAAAATCTAGTACTCATGGCATTTGCCTGGAAGGTCAGATAATTATCAGGGTTATTCAATAAAGTGCAAACTGTCAGGATCCTAACTAAATTTAAAGATCGTTCAAAGTAGATTTCCCATTTTAGCTTAATATACTGAAAGCATAGCTGATTTGAGAACTGTTCATAGACTGGCTATTCGGTGTTACAATTCGAAAATCACTTTGAACTCACTTTGTTGCTCTGAACAGATAATTACAGATTCATTGAATGTATTGCATTTATTTTTGTCCAATGATAAAAATAAATAAATGCTATGTTAAGGGTATTTTTTGTAATCTTTATTTTTGTTCAATTCACACATACACGCAAAGTACCAGATAGCACAGATATTAAAAAAAAAATCAACATTAAAAGGACTGACCAGTGTACAGATAACGAGACATTGAGAAGCGAGCTCAGGAATTGAGGTTTTTGTGGTATAAAATATAAAAGCCCTCCAAACAGCAAAAACAAATATTTCCTGAATATAAAATAGTAGAGGAACAAAGTTGTGAGAAAAATATGGAGACCACAGGAACACTTCATATGAAATTTGTGTGCACAATTTGAAGAAAAGAAAAACCAGCGTGCAAAAATGTAAGCACTAACTGAAGACCTAAAAAAATGGGTCAGCGAGGCTTAGATAGTAAACTGTCAACAAATTCCTAATCTAGATAGGGGTAAAACCAGCTTATAAAATAAACATAAAGAATCATTGCGCGATGAAGTGAAGGAAGGACACATTACTAGCCCCAGGCCTGGAAATGAGCCAGTACTTTATCACCATGGACCTAACTTCACTCTGTTCTCAAGTCCAGTATCGGCATCTCTGTTGTCTACTCCCAAAGACCCTCCACAGGTGTGGATGGTGTAATGGGGACAACCCCCTGGGGGGCTCCACTTTGGCAAAACACAGCTTAATGTGGCGGATATGCCTGGTACAGGCACCCAAGACTTCCTTCCCTGCTGGCTTTTATCACCCTTTAATAAGTTTTAAGCTTTGTCAGGACCAGTCTTTGAACAGTTAAGATCAGAATTTTGCACAAATAAAGTCAAACTTTGATAAAACATTTTCAGACTGTAGGCCAGGTCTCAGTTCACACAGCCACGTGGCTATCTTGCAACATGCACACGTGCACCGCTGTTTCAGTACACAATCCTTCACCAAAGCTAGCAGGCAGCCACCATTGCGAGGACCAGGATATCCACGACAGGTCGAAA